GCGCGTCGGTTGGTGCAGCAAAAAGAGGAGGAGCGGATCCAGGCCCAGGTCAAAGTTGCGGAGAAGCCGCGGCCAGGGCGGGCAAGGACACGCCGGCGCACAAGCAGGCGTTGAGTGTCGTCGCCAAGCTCAATGCGCAGATGCGCGCGTCGAAGCTGAGCTTGCAAAGTGCGCTGCAGTCCGAAGATATCAGCGGTCGGAAGGGCGGCACGGATGCGACCGACTTCCATGCCATCATCCCCATCAACGACTATCCCCAGAAGGCCCGCTGGCGTGTTACTAACAAAGAGACGATGGTCCAGGTGCGCGTGTTTGTTTTCGTTCGTTCCCAGCCCGTCTCAAGTTGTTGCCCAGCTTATTGATATGACTGGTGCCTCGGTGACTAACAAGGGTATCTATTACGAGCCGGGCAAGGAACCAGGAATGGACGCGCCCCCCGAAACTGCATTTGCTCGTTGAATCGAATGAAGAATACCGGGTCGGTCTTGTTTTCTTTGTTTCGCGATTCTTCATGCTCAACTTCCGCCAGGTCGAGCAAGCCGTGCGCGAAATCAAACGCCTGCTGGTCGAAGCGTCGGCCGCGGCTCTCCAAGCCGAGATGCGGAATCCCAGTGCTCCAACAGGCAGATACAGTGTGATCTGAGTCTCCGTAGCACACACATACTTACAGACCGTAACTCTTCCTCATACTACTGCTGTAACCCGTCTCTTTCACTTTCTTCTCGACCTCGCTCACTTTGCTGTCCACCTCCTTCACTGCACCGTCGATCCACTGTAGGCTTTCCAGGTGGCTGCTCAGAATTTCTGCGATTTGAGACATCGGATCGTCGGCGGATGTGTCCGTGCTTGATGCAGAGAGAGACCGTTCACAGCATCGATCATCTGCGTCAGCGAGCCCGAAAGGTCGTCTAATTGCGTGTGCAGCTCCGTTGCGAGCATGTAACTGTGGGATATGTTAGTTGTTATTCCACGCCCGTGTAAGAGGACACGTACTTTTTATCACGCTCCGTGTCAGCAGGCCCTGCGTCCAAGGCCCTCATATTTGACCCACCGAAGATCTCCTGGGTTGCCTTTTCGTAGGCTTCCAGTGTTGAATTCAGGTCCTTCTGCTGCTGCTCGATATGATCCAACGATTGGTCGATTTCGTTTTGCTCGCGTTCCGCGGCCAATATGTGACTGTATAGTGCCGCCACCTGCAACACAATATCGTAAGATTCTTGAGCCTGGAGAGAACAAACCGACGCACGTTGTTCCCGTTTTCAATCAACGCTCTGTCCCAGACAGCCACCTCTCCGGCGAATTTGTTGAACTCTCGTACATGAGTCTCCAGTTCGCTCGACCATTTGTTCACGATCTCTTCGATCGTCTTGCCGCGCAACATAGAGGGAGGTGCGACCGCTACCAACGCAGTTGACGCACCTGGCGCGGGGGTAGTCCCTTGCGCGGAAGTGCCCAGTGCGGGGGTCGTACTCGAGCCTAGCGGAGGAGTTGTCGCCGGCGCGGAACCTAGAAGAGCGTTGGGGCTACTTCGCAAAATTTCGAGATCAGTTCTCACCAGCGGGCTTGGCCAACGACGAAAATAATCCTGGATAGCGGGCATAAGAAAATGCCCATCCCGGTCTGAGAATTCGCACTGACCTGGTGTCGTAGTCGCGGCATCCGGCTTGGCTCCCAGAGAGGGGAACAACGAAGGAGCGGATGCGCTCGCGGGAGCGGCGGCTGTCGACGCGCCTCCCAATGCTGTTGGCCCCGGTGTTGCAGGCTTTGCTCCGAATAGACCACCAGCCGGCGATGTCCCTAGGGAGAGGCATTCAGATTCTTGGAAGACAAAAGGATGGCAAAGAGAAGGCCGGACCTGCAGGAGCAGCGGTCGGAGCATCTTTATTCGCACTCAAGGAAGGAAACAACGAAGGTGCTGCCGTTGTCGTCGTTGCGGGCGCTGCAGGTTTGTTCAAACTGCCCAAGCCGCTCAGAAAACTGTTTGTAGGTGCAGCTGGTGTTGTTCCGTCTGCGGGTTTGGCACCGGCAGCTGGCGTAGGAGCTAGTAGACCATATCAGTTATCAGGATTACGCGCTGCAGTATTCACATACTTCCAAGGCTGAAGACTACGATAATTCTGTAAGAGGTCTGGAATAAAATAACGAGATCCACTCACATCCCGTTCCCGCTGGTTTCGCCGCCCCTGCTGCTGGTTCTGCCGGCTTGTTAAGCCCAGAGAATGCACTACTGCCTCCGAACAGGGATGGTGCAGGTGTCGTCGAAGGCGCAGCCGCTGGAGTCGTTTTCAGTGGTGCCCCAAAAAGACTTCCAGCCGGGGCCGCCGCTGTGGTCGAAGCAGCGCCGCCCAACGAGAATGAGCCGAACCCTGTGGTGGGTGCTGGCGCCGGTGCCGCAGCAGGCGTAGGCGCAGGTGCAGAAGGGGCACCACCAAATCCACCGAATAAACTCCCACCCGCGCCTGTGGCTGGTCCCGCAGCTGCAGCCGGTGTCGTCGTCGAAGTGGCACCTCCCGCAGGAGTGCCGAAGAGGCTTGTCGTGGGTTTTGTTGTAGCGGCCGGGTTTGTGCCTGCGGCTGGTGCTCCACCGAAGGGGACGCGTTTGTAGTCGCGTTTCCGAAGACACTTGGTTTGAGGCCGCCTGGAGTGTTGATCAAGATCAGGATTGAAGAAGGCATGCGAGAAGGGACACGAAATACCTGAGAAGGCAGAACCACCCCCGAATGCATTCGTAGCTGGCGCGGGGTTGCTTGAGCCTGCAGCTGGGGTGCCCGTGCCCGCCGGCTGGAGGTTGAAAAAGCTCATCGTCGGGGAACGCGTCGAAACGTATTTGTCCTTGTTGAGTTCAAGTTAGCCGAACCAGTCGCGCGGTCACCTGAGCCGGCTGCTACGCCCACGACGCGTCTGTGTGGACGCTCCTTCTACTTTCGATGCGTATCGTATATATCTATTTAAGAGCTCAACTCGAGGCAAGTAAACTTCACTGAATCAGCACAAGTTTCTGGCCCTCATTATCTTGGAGAATACCATCGAAGCAAGAGCAGTAGTATGACAGAGTAGTCTTCCATGAAATTGCACCGTTCGAATCCGAATCATGGGTAGTCACCCACAGGAAGTAGTGGCATGGTTTGCTTGAACCGTTCGCCGTGAAAATTCAGCACTTCTCCCGTCGGAGGGTTCTATTTCTATACATCGTCAGAGCCGGTATTCCAACTCCAAATACGGCACAAAGCCTTCCCTCTTGTTGTGCGTATCGGTCAGATATGACCAGCACAGACTCTGCGAGAGGGATTGACTTGAGCTTGTCCCAGTGGCGTCATGCTTGGGCACCCCTCGGTTCAGCCAATGAATAATGTCGGTGCAAAAACTACACATAAATTCTTCGAGAGCTCAAGAAGAATTCAAGAAAGCTGGTGAGTTCAACGGGACGAGAACGATGAAGCCGAAGGTATGTCTCCATAAGTTGTCTCCATAAGGCTGTACCGATGCGATCACCGATCAGATGAGGTGATTGCGGGTATTTGGCCGATCGGCGCACAGCCTCACTTACTTTCTTGGCCAATTTGGAGTGGGGAATCGGCCCTTTCTTTCTCTTCAAACTTCATTCTTCGCTTGCTTTCATACTCAAGGACAGCGTTGTCCCTTTCTCGACTTTCGATCTTCAGGGATGGGCTTTATAAGACCCGCCACGCCAGGCTTCCTCCTCACAGCTGCCGCAGCGGGCTGTCTCGCGGTCGTATCCTTTTGCGTACCATACCTCAAGAGCGTCTACTTCATGAAGGCGACGATTAATCAGGGTGGAATTACTGGAGCGATTACGTTCGGGACGCTGGGCTACTGCTTGGATCTCAATGGGGTCACGACGTGCTCGAAACCGGCTGTGGGCTACGAACTAGGTGCGTACTGCGGATGTTCTTGATGCGCTCTTCCTCAAGATGCGTCGTCAGACATCAATAGCCTCGTTGGCAACAACCTCCCCGTGTCCATACCTAAGGTTGTGGTGAAATGGCTCACCGACGTGCTTATACTCCACGTCGCCGCTCTCATTCTCGCGGTTGCCGCGGCCCTGTTTGGGCTGCTTGCTCACGTTCGAGAGATGTCAATGACCTGCTGCAGCACTTTTCTCTCCGGGCTTGCTGCGACAGTCGCCTTGGTTGCCTTTATCTTCGACCTGGCGCTGTTTTTCGTCGCCAAGGCGCGCATCAACGCTATCGGCTCCGCCTCTATCGGGAGCGCGGTGTGGCTCACGCTCGCTGCGTGGGTCCTCTTGTTCTTCAGCGGATGTTTCTACACGATTGGGCGATGCTGTGTGTCCAACCGCAAACGCAGTGATTGGAACAATAAGCAGGATCCTCCCCCTCCTGGCGCTGGAGCTGACCACGAGCAAATGCGGCTGGATGCAGTCAAAGCTGAGGCTGACCGCAAGGCTCGTCAGAAGATGACGGAGGGTGGACTGCCGGCCTTCTACGAGAGCCAACCCCTTACTTCCACGGCCTACGACGACGGAAATGCGGTGTACTCCGACAAGCCTCACACTCCGGGTGGATATGTACCTGGAAATCCAGGGGAGCGTGCTGTCGATGGATACTACGACAATGCTGGTGTCGGGGCGTATCAGAACCACAACAATCTCGGTGCTGGCCCCTCTGCTGCTGTAGCTGGAGCGTACACCAACGCTAACACCAACACCGACGAGAACAATCGGTACCCGCCCTCTCAGCATCGGCAGCCGTCGACGTATGCCGCGTCTACATACAGCCACAGCGCTCCACAGACGTATCCTGCGCAGCAGTACGCAGCCTATGGAAACGGCACTCCACCTGTACAGCCTCCGATGCCGCAGTCCAACCCTTACCTAGATCCCTACGCGGGGCAAACGAACCCGTATCTTGGCGTTGCAGGCCATGCTTCGCGTGGGACGTCGTACCACTCTGCCGTGTCGCATCAGAACGAATACTCGCAGTACGATCCGTACGAACAGTCCGGGCAGGCCAATTATCGCACGCCGGATGCGTACGTCGCTTCACAATATCCACCGTCGTCCTCCCAACCATATACCCCCCATGTCACCACACCCCCAACCGTCGATGGCTACGGAGCGAACGTCGTCCCGCCGTTAGACACTCAAGCCGGCTATTTCGCCAGTGGCTCGCACTCCGCTGCTCCGACATCACCGAAGGGCCCGCGGTCCCATCGGCAGTCCTCCTTGCAGGTGATGAATGTAGTGGACGAAGACAGCCCACCGGGCTACGAGCCCGGGCATCGGAGCCCATTCCAGGCGCATGGGGCAGGAAGAACTGAGCGTTATTGTACGTAATATTGTAGCTCGAGGACTTTTTCACGATACCTATCTATGATCTACCCATATTGTTTGACCCATGACATGAAATGTACATCTCACGATTTCTGAAAACGACGCGGTTGGAGCAGGAGAGAGAACCCTCACCCATTATTTGCAAGGATCCGACCCAGAGTGTGAGGTCTGCTTTCCCATCAGCTGGCGATTCATACACAAACATGGGTCCTACTGCACAGAATCCTAAATCTACAGATAAAGGGAAGAGCAGAAGATGACTGAATTCGGACGCTCCAACATCTCAGATGCCTTTTCAAACTTTTCCTTCAGCTCGTTGTTTCCGATGACTGTGGCTGCCTGTGCCATCTGCCGCAGCAGCTCCCCCAGTCGTCGGAAGACGCGGATGATGCTGCCTTCGAACTGGTCCGTCAGCTGTGAATGTCAGAGAAACTGTCAGTGCGAAGGCGAAGTGCAAAGAAGAAGAAACAGACCTGGCAGATGTCAGAGAACGACGCTCCGCGACACCACTGCACCACCGCATCCATGAGCTCGACCTTGAACGACTGGACATACTCCGTTTCGTCGATCTCAATTTTGGACTCTTTCGACACTTTGGCGATTCGCTTGGCAAACTCTTGCATCGATCGCAACGGGGCGGCCAGCTCTTCCTTCAGTTTCGTCGTTTGTTCGCTCTGGGTGGTGACAGATCAGACGCTAAGCATGTGCCACGCACAGCCACGAACCTTCTCGGTAAAAACGAAGCAGCTGAGCAGCGCAGCGCATTGCTCGGGAGAAAGTGTGTTGAAGGCGCCGTTGAAGATGAGCTCCGTCAGCAGGAGCTCGTCCCCGGAGCTGATCTCACACGCCACCCGCCCTTTCATGTCGACGATGTCCGACGAATCGGTGAAGCCTAACCGCCGGAGAACGCGCTTCCTCGACTTGAGCTCTTCCATCTGCAGGATGTCCCGCGTTGCCTGGATCCGCCGCTTGAGCGCCCGGATGCGCTCTTTGGTGGCCTCGCGCTTGGCATATTTCTCAAACAGCTCCGGCAGGCGTGGGTCTGTATGCATCGGACTCGAGGCCATCTTTTGTTCCATCACGCGGATTTTCTGCGAGCCAATCAGTTATGCCTGCATAGCGAGTAAACACGAACACGCGCACCTGGATCAACGCAGTGAACTTTTCATCCTTGATGCCCAGGTTCTCGATCGGATCTAGCAAGGCGATGCCCTCCGGGAAACGACGCTCGATCTCGACAATGCTCTTCCAAACCGTCTCCCGCGCAGGATCCGGTCTCAGGTCCTTGGGCAAGAAGATGCGCAGGTGGCTGATGGCTTCGATCGTCGACAGCAGCACAGGAACGACGAGTGGGACCCCCTTCTTGCCTTTTGGCGCAGGCAGGATCGTGCTGGGGGTGGCAGTGACGACTTGCCGGTCCTTGGGCAGTGCGCCGCCCGGTGCGCAATTCAGCAGCACATCGACGACGTATTGCTCGTGCGGTGACAGCTCTTCGGGCTTGAACATGGGGCGGTTCTGGGTACTGGATTAGCAGCGAACACAATACGCGCAGCGACCGACCGCTCACTTTAGGTGGCAGGCGCTTCGAAAAGCTGATGATCACACCCCAGCCAAAGTCAAGCTTCTCGTGCTTGACCTTCACTAGACGACCGGGTTGTAAGAAAGGAAGTGAGTAGGTAGGATGTGTGATGACTTCGCGGAAGTCGGCGTTCATCTGCTGCAGTTGGTGTCGATATTGGTAGTAGTCGGAAACGAGCTGTTCGTCTGGAATGACAACGCTGGACTTGTTTGCTTCCTCCTTTTTGAGCTCTGGACGACGGGATCAGCAGACAACTTATGCGATCAGAAATATGCTCGCACCCTCCTCCAGCTGAGGGACACCCGCATTACTCTGGAACTGGAAGAAGCACTTTTCGAGCATGTACTCCGGGCTGATCCCCTCGACTTTCATCAGATTGAGCACCATGTTGTATCCCAGATGGAAAGCCGAGTCGAGTCGATCCGCCTCGCCCTTGACCATATTGATGGCCGCGCTGGGCTCCAGCTTCTCGTCACACATCATGATGACCACACCCCGCTCGTCCAGCCCACGCCGACCTGCGCGCCCAGACATCTGGATGTACTCGCCCGACGTCAGATCCCGGAACTCCCGCCCGTCGAACTTGCGCGTCGTCGTAAAAACGACCGTCTTCGCGGGCATGTTCAGGCCGATCGAGAAAGTCTCCGTGGCGAACAGGACCTTGATCAGGCCCTCCTGGAACAGAATCTCGATCACCTCTTTCAAGATGGGCAGTAGTCCGCCATGGTGGATGCCGATGCCGCGGCGTAATAGCGGGAGGAGGTTCGCTATCTGCGGGAGATCCCGGTCAGCTGGGGTCAGATTCTCCACCGCATTGTTGAAGATGTTGGTGACCAGATCTTGTTCGTCCGTCGAATTGAACTCAAATTTGGACAGCGTGAGAGCCAGAGCTTCACATTCCCGTTTGGCGAATGCGAACACGATCACAGGGTTGTAGTTTTTGAGCATGATCATTTTGATCAACCGCGAGATGTCCGAGGGTCCTGTAACAGTTCAGCGTTTTGGAAGGATCAACGACCTCACACAAGCAGACCTTTATTGCCGCCCTTCCTTGTCTTTCCCTTCCTACCTTTGCCCCCATTGGCGTCGGCGGGGTCTTCGCCTTTCCCCTCTTGCAGCTTGGCCATCGCTTTACTGAAGTTATCCTCCCGAAATTCACCGTTTTCATTGACCACGAGATAAATCCCCTCTCCCCCACATGGGAACATGTAGTTTTGCAACGGCGTTGGTCGGTAATTGGTGTAGACCACATGGCACGGCTGCTCGTGAGACTTGGATATCCACTCCGCGAACTGCATCGCGTTGGGGATCGTGGCAGAGAGAAAGACGTAGCGGACGGTGTGCGGAAGCAGAATGATAGTTTCCTCCCACACGACTCCACGCTCTTTGTCGCGCATGTAGTGGATCTCGTCGAAGATGACCCAGGCGACCTCGCGCATGACTTCCGAACCACGGTAGAGCATCGAACGCAGAATCTACACAACCTCAATATCGCGAGAACAGCGGGAAGGCGGTCCTCACTTCTGTGGTCATAACCAGACACGAGGCCGACGGGTTTATAGTGACATCTCCAGTCATAAGCCCAACGTCGCCAAACTCGGCCAGCATATCCCGGTACTTCTGGTTACTCAGAGCCTACGGAAATTCCATCAACCTCGAACTGATTTATATTCCAACAAGAATCTACCTTGATAGGACTCGTATATATCACACGTTGCTTGTTATTTAGACACTGCGCTATGGCGTACTCTGCAACCACGGTCTTCCCGGCACTAGTGTGTGCGGAGACGAGAACGCTTTCATTGCGCTGGATGGCGTAGACAGAGACACGCTGGAAGGGATCCAGCTCGAATTTGTACTCTCGAGCGGGTTTGGCAGGGGGAACATGTTGAGAAATGGGAATGTAGTTGTAGCCTGCAGGCACAGAAACTTGATGCCGGACCTGTTCAAGGATGTGTGCATCAGTGTATCAGAGATGAATGAGGATGTGGTCAGAAATGCTCACCTGATGTCTTAACTCTAAGCGCGTCCCCTCCACAGCAGATCCAGTCAGTCCGGCACTTGCAGCGACTTCTCGTTTTGCTTCCGTCTCAAAATCATCCAACACGACAGTGGTTTTTACTTCAACGCGCGCTCGTTTGGGAGAGGAGGGTCCAGCTTCATTGTTCTCTTCTTCAACCACACCCTGCTTCCCGTTCGTGGGTTTCGGCGAGTCCGCTTTACGTTTCAGCGGTGCCGTAGCTACTGGCTGATCCATCGGCATAGGGTCATCCTGCCCGGCACCTTCTTCCAGGAAAGAAAACAGATCGTCCATCGTTGCTGTCGAGTCCGGAATACCCGTCGAAGGTGGGCAGGAAAGAGAAAAGTTGGGCGCGTGATCGGACGCGAGGTCACGTGGGAGTCGTGATGCTCAGACTCTCACTGCTTCGATGCGCGCCGCGACAAATCGCAGGTGGCTCCCTGCGGCCTTCATTCCGACCGCAACCCCTCCGCTCCTTACCGCTCCAACGCGTCGTGCGCCGCTGGGCAGGTACTAGCACCGAATTACCACCCCCGCTGACCCCGAAAACATGGGTGGATCGAGTCCCCGCCAAAGTCCAGCCCTACATATATCTGTCTCGCGTCGACAAACCGATAGGGAGCATACTACTCTTCTACCCATGCGGTAATCACAACTTGTTCCTCTCTCGACGCGCGTCCTGAACCCCCTCCCTCCTCCTTTAGCCTGGTCCATCACCATGGCATCCTACGCACTGCAGACGCCCTTTACAACACCCCTGACCTACATCAGTCTCTTTGGTATCGGGGCGCTCGTCATGCGTGGGGCCGGGTGCACGATCAACGACATGTGGGATAAAAATCTGGACAAGGCCGTCGGTCAGTTGCACCCTGGGTTATCACCCGACGCCATTTGTGTGACGTCCGCATAGCGCGAACGAAGAACCGGCCGATTGCCCGAGGAGACGTGACGTATAGCCAGGCTACTGTTTTCCTGGGGGCGCAGCTCACTGCCGGCCTTGCTGTGCTGCTACAGCTCAATTGGTATAGGTAGCTGTGTGTCTTGATTCCTGTCCTGTATATGGCTGAACGCCATGACACAGCATACTTCTGGGCGCGACTTCGCTGTCCGTTGTGGTGCTGTACCCACTCATGAAGCGGATCACATACTGGCCCCAAGCCGTTCTCGGTAATTGACATTGATCTTTCCTCTTTCCATGAATGACGCAGGGTTCCAGGCATTGCGTTCAATTGGGGAGCAATGCTCGGATGGTCCGCGGTCGGAGGCACCGTGGATTGGAAAGTTTGCCTGCCGCTCTACGCTGGCGGAATCTGTTGGACCCTGGTCTACGACAGCATCTATGCTCACCAAGTGGATCCGTTTCTCGAAAAACAACATCCGGCTTGATCTAAATCTATCCACAGGACAAGAAAGACGATGTCGGCGCCGGGATCAGATCAACTGCGCTCCTTTTCGGGGAAAGAACCCGGCCCATTTTAAGCGCTCTGACAGCCACCTCCATGTCCCTGATTGGTTTCGCGGGTTACATGAATGCTCACGGAGCTCCCTTTTATCTGGGAGTCTCTCTTGCCGCTGCCCAGCTCGCACGGATCATCTATCGCACCGACTACGACCAACGGGAGAGCTGCTGGAAAGGATTTGTCGACAGCGGCTGGAGTGGCTTCTGGATCTGGATGGGTGCACTGGCGGACTATGCTTGGATAATGCTTTGGTAATTATTCAACGTGGAAAAACAACAACAACAAAGACGTAAGATACAGTTTGCAGCAGGCGTGAAAGGTCGTGAAATAAAGATACAGCACACACGCAAGATCAAGCAGTGTCGCGATAGGAAACAGCCGGTTTTGACCGCTGCTTCACCCAGGCATGGAATCCCACCACACCTATTGTCCAGCAGAAAGCAATGCAAGTGAATGCAACAGCAGCAACAACGAACAGCATGATATCTGGAGGCTCTGATCAGTTGCGTTTTAGCGTGGAATGGGTTCGACATACCATCCCGGCCCCGGCGCATCGCAGCGATGGTGAGCTCCTCGGTGGAGAACATGAAGCTGATGCCTCCGGCAGTCAAGAAAAAGCTGGCCAGCGCTTCAGTCGGCGGTCTCGAGGGCAGGGTGGACTTGGGTGGCGAAACCCAAACAAAGAAGTACGTGATGCAACGCATGACGGCAAACGCGAGGAGAAGGTTGCCCCAGAGACTGTGGATCTGCACCTGGAACAGATATGTCTGGAAGTGCGCAGCCATCACCGATCCGGTGACTCCGATGACGAGAGCGGGGAAGGGGTTGAAGCTGGCCGTGTATGTTTTTGGCTCGGAGACCGTCTCCGAGGAATTGACAGCGAGCCCCGCGAGCCAGCGGCGCACGACCTTGCTCTCGACGGCCATCCCCACGAGACCGGCGCCCCAGAACATGATCTGTCGGCCCGAATCAGTACTCCTGTCGGCCACGAGCAGCGCGTACTGACCGCAATTCCGATGTGCTGAAGCTGCTTAGTCGTGAAGGGATCGCCCGCTTGTGCGCCGAATCTCTCCATCCACACGTTGGTGATTCCGTAGATGAAGATGACCGCGGACTCGAAGAACTCGGCGGTGGGCTTGCCCGACTGGGGAGGGAGGTTCCAGGCCCACCCGATGCCAGCCCCCCAGCCGAGATAGCGGGCAAAGGACGCGATTCCATAGCACCAGAAGATGCCGCCTTTGATGAGATGGGCCAGGCACCCGTTGATGTAGTTCTGTCTGCATCCTCCTGCGGGGGAAGAGAGAGATCAACAACGTGGGCGCACGGCCCGGAAGCAGACGCACCCGTATAGACCACGATGCCCGATAAGGAAATGCCGAACGCCGTGACGATGATGAGCCGTTCGGTGATCGCGAAAAGGGCTCGCCCGATCCGCCGGACGAGCGACACGCGAGGGACAAACGGAAGGTGGGCGTCGTGCAGCGTCGCCTCGGAATGCGGCGACGACGGCATGAAGAGCGTGCCGTCGGAATGCGTCGAGTGGTGGCGCACGTGGTTGGCCCACTGCGCGGTCGTGCCGTGGTCGTACGAGGTCCGTCCGCGCTTCATTTCGTGCCCCGCCTCCTCCATCGACTCGGGTTCCTCGCTGATCAAGCCGGCGTACTCTGCATTCGCCGCCTCGTCCTCCATTTCCCGGCCCACCGCCGACGACCATAACCCGCGGAACGAATACGGCCGGCCCGCGCGGACGTACTGGAATATGCGCACGGAAGCAGCAAATGTGTCGATCGCGGTGAGCGCCAAGGACGCAAACAGGAGCAGATAGCCATGCCGCGAGTGGCGTTGGTGCGGATACCTGCTGCCGTAAGCAACCGACCGAGCGACCGTCTCGCGCGACTCACATGTCAGGCGTCGTCTTCCTGTACAGCGAGCTGGCCGAGCACGCGAGCAGAAACGTGCCATAGAAGGCGCCGACGGCGACCCCGCGCAGAGGGTGCTTGGCCGATCGCAGGGCGAGGCCTGTCAGCGCATATTAGTGAGCGGCGATGTGTGTTCCGTATCAACTCACCCATTGGCAGGCACACGAAAAACGCGAAGAACATGAGGAGCGCGTGCGTGATGATCAGTCCTGGATGTCGCTTCGGATCCAGCACATCCCAATCGATGGTGTAGTACGACGGAGGAGTCGGATCGTGGTACAGCGTGATCTCCGTCTCGTTCAGCTCGAGCAGCGGTTGTGCGTGGTGGCCGTGGCCGTGGCCATGGCCATCGCGGATCAGCAGCTCCTGCGCGAGGGATGCGCCGACAAGACTCAGAACGAGGGCCAGGGAGAGCGGTCTCATCGCGACGGAGGGAGGAGGAGCAAGCAGAGATAGAAATAAGTCTCGGTCCCGCATTTTAAATACCGGCCCAGGATCATCTTTGAAGAAGGCCGGGACTGGTGTCCTCTTGTCGGCTTCTTAGCAATGATGGCGGGCCAGCACGGGTCTGAATGGGTTGCGTAATGGTCTGCTCAGTAAGCGTTGATTTCACATTCACGCATGATCGGCATATCTTTCGCCTCCCCAACACGGCGAGGACGCGCGAAACACCCTCATCCAAAAAGCCCGTTCCATTTTGTCGCGTCCCTCTGGTGTGCGCCGCCGGAAACACGAAAGTAGACGGCCAAGTCCGGTCTTGACAGGAAATTCCTTTTCGGGCCATCAGGACGTTCGGCCTCGCTTCGGCGTTTCAAACTCCTCGGTGCATGTCGTCATTGTGTGCGCAGACTCTTCCGAGTTACTGCGGGGTCCGCAGCTGCGAAGTATTACTAGCAGCGCAAGGTGCAGAAGATGTCTGCCCCCAACGATTGCGTCCACTGTGCGTGTCCGTCGGAATATCAAACAAAATGACATCATCCGGTCATTTTCGGTTTGTCATGACTCATCAAGTCAAATCAAGTCACCGCGAAATTCGAATCCCGACGCGGAAGTCGGATTGACCACGCGATCGTATGTTGCTCGCCGACGTCATCGTCTCCTTGCGCTAGAGCCCTGCTGGACTGGGCCCGGGCTAGAGCGGGTGCTTCTCGAAAATTTACCGAGCACCGCGTAAGTAAGACAAAGAGAAAAGTCCGAGCGATGGAGGTACCTCGGCACGGAGAAAGTAAGCAACATCATGTCAGCCACATCGATCGGAACAAGGTTCTGAATCACAAGGACGATTCGGACGGGAACGAAAAAAGCAAGTACACAAAGATAAGCGATGGTCAGTACAAGATAGCTATGCATTCATTCGATTCTCGCGTCTACAGAACCACTCGCAGAGCGGCCGTGCGACTAGCGCCTACTCATTGGCGACCTGGAAATCCGTCAGAACACCCCGGAGACATAGATGAGCCTGGACTAGGCTAGTACCTTCAGGGTCCGCGCCCAGAACTCGGCCTCTTCAACACTTTTGCGCCGATCTTGCTCCGTCTCACCAAATGAGTCGGGCAGATGTTGAGATGGCACCGGAACACGAGGTATATTGCGCGTGTTGGGGGGTATCGTGGCAGTCCCAGCGAGAGCCGGCGCTGGGGCATCAGCCATGGGGGAGACATAGTTCGAGTAGTACGGCTGTCCAGAGGGTCCGAAGTTGTTCTGCCCTTGGCCATAGTACTCGTTCGATGTGGGTGGTGGTGCCTGTTGATGGGGTGCAGCATAGGCTGGCATTCCACCGTAGTAATCTTGTTGACCGCCGTAATACTCGGGCTGCTGCTGCTGCCGCTGGCCATAGTTCGGTCCATACGGCTGAGGCAGATCAGCGTAGGTGCTGTATCCAGGTGCTCCGTTCGAGTGCGCCGCTCCAACATTCCCAAGGCTAGGGTTCGTGGAGTGCGCCAGCCCCTTCTCCGACGCCTCATACCGCTGCTCATTCGTCGATAACAAGTTGGGATCGAACGAAATAGCATCGTTGAGCAACCGCCGCTTCCTCTGTCGCCGCAAGAAGAACGTGACCACCATGAAGATGAGAACAACGCCGACAATGGCGACCAGCGCGAACACGACACCAGACAGTGCCTTGTTCTGCAGGAAGCTCGTCGGGTGGTTGTCAGTGGTGTTCAGGTTACTGGTGCTTGAGTTTGCAGAACTTGAGGAAACGGGCGCCACCGTCACCGTGTTCGACACAGTGTGGACTGCAGCCGGGGAAGTGGTCACAGCAGGCGGTACATCGGGAGTTATGGTCGTAGCAGGAGGGCTCGTGTTGACGGATACAGGTGTTGTCACCGCAGTGGCACTCGTCGGGAGAGCAGGTGGCACAGAGGTTGTCACAGGCCTAAACACGATCAGGCATTGTCCCAATGGTGAAAAGCGCGTCAAAACATACACGGTGGACACGACCGAGGGAACAGAGGGCGTAGTGACGACAGGTGTGCTTGTTACTCTGCGAAAAGGTTCACAACATGGTTAGCGGCAGATAAGAGAGTAACGCACACTGGGGCAGTGGTCTGTCCCAAGCCTGGAAGAGTGACAGTGGTCGTTGGAACACTAGGGGGCGTCTGCACCGATGTCAAGACGGGTGTGGTTTTTACAGGCGGTACCACCGGCGACGTCACGGGCTGCGTCGCTGGTGTTGTCACTGGCGGTGTCTGTGCGGGAAGACTGGTCGTGGGAGTCGGGTTCAAGCCGCTAGCGACACCACATTAGAGTGATTCGAGTGTGAGGGAGGGCACTCACAAGAGCGTCGAAAAGACTAAATATTGCACGACGATCAGATCATCCATTCTGCGGAGCACGGCGTGATCGACAACTCACAGCCTGGGAGACCCATGAACACCGCAGGATAAAGGGAGAATTAGGTCAAAAGAAAGTCGTGTTGGAATGGTCCTGAGCCAGATCCAATTTGAAATTTGAACGGGCCAGAGTCGTTGGTCAAGTGGGGGAGGAAGAGGAAGAAAGGGTCGAGGCGAACAAGCAAATTCAGTTGATCCAAGTGGATATAACGCGGTTGCCATCACGATCGTGCTGGGTCACATTGCCACACATGGCACAGACAAGTGGCGCGCTGCATTCGAGCGGACAAGAGAGCTCCAGATCCACTCCTGACAACTTGTAAGCGCCTCAACAGCCTCCATGATAGTCAGGATAATTGATAATTGATTCCGTAACAGAGAAGGAATCGCCTCGACTCGAGACGGCCTCAATAGGAAAGCTTCTGATTAGATAAGATCCAGAGATGTCGGCCCGTACCAGCGATACTTGCCGGCATATTCACGTTCCGTCCTCGCCAATTTCATGGAAGCAATGTACATTCGACATTCAAAACGATATAAAGTAAATGCATGTATCCGAGACCTAGTATGCCGCTGCAGCCGATCAATCAGCCTCGTCAACCCACGTCTCGTGCACAACCCTTTCCGTGTACTCCCGGATCCATCGGGGTCGTTGCTGATGCTCTGCAACCAGGCGCTCTTGGCGATGGATCCTCTCCTGCTGTTCTGGTTCCTGATTTTCCCGGTCCAGGTCGGCAGCGCGCGCACTGGCGTCGATCCTGATTTGTGTCTCCCGACGTCGAAGCAGGTTGCGCCGCCGGTTCCATACCGCGGGATGCATCGTAGCCACAAACAGCGTCACGAACGCCATGGCCCTGCTGGCGAAAGTAGGCTCCGCGGCATTGACCCGGAGTATCTCCTGTTCGTTATCCAAGTTGTAGCTGCCCAACACGTCAAAGACAGCGGCAATGTGGCTGTCAAAGTCATTGGCACCAGCTGCCCTCGGGCCAACTGGAGCGGCGCCTGGTACCGCGGGGGCCGGCGCGGCATTGGCAGCAGCATTGGGATGCGCAGCGGCACCACCACCACCACCACCAACATTTCCTGCAGCGTGAGGCTGAGCCGGGCGGCCCCCGCCAGCTGCCGCCGCCCGTTGATCAGCCTCAGGAGCCCGATTCAATCCACGGATAAGTCCTCCTCTGATCACTTCATACAGCATCCACATGACAATTATTGCACCGAACAAAGGCTTGCGGGCAGGGGCAAAGAAGTACAGCAGAATCGCCACGCGCAATGTCATGAAGAACAGCGGAATCAGCAATGGCCGAAGGGGGATGTCGATGGCTTGCATCTGAGGTGCCGCATTCGGAGCGAGGTTGCCGTTGCCGCCATGGCGAACAGCCGGGAGACCCAGCTGCTGCAATAGAGCTTGCACATTTGGGGCCGGAGTTTGAGATGGAATGACCCGGGATTGTGAGATGATGGGTGGTAATGCCAGTATGGGGAAGGTATGAGAGAGTACATTCAATGCGTGCATCTGCACAGCAGTCGGTTGGCTATCTGGATTGACAAGTCGCAGGTAGCTCTGCCCACTTGCGAAAGTTAAGACCCAATTTCAGAGTAATTGACAGTCATGCTTACTCAACAATAGCACGCTCATACTTCACCCCAACACCGTCCTCCACCAACGGGAACTCTTCGTCCAGAACAGGGGGCCACGACCACCCGTGACGCTCCACAATCTGGACAGCAAGAATCTTGAAAGCAAGCGTGCTGGCATCTAGCGGCGAGACCTTGATGTTCTCCATCGCATTCAGGGCTTGCTGATGTCTGGCCACCACATATGTGAGTGGACCTGGTGCGCTAATACCGGGTTGGGCATAGACCGATTGCAATCGGGAGGACAGAACCGCCGGAAAGGACGTGGGGAGAGGCGCTGCAGAAGGCGTTGCGGGTGCGGGAGAGGAAGTTTCAGGTAAGGAAGGTCGCGAAATGTCCGGTGGAGAAGTCGTCCAGGCCGATGGGTGCACAGCAAGATGGACGATCCGGGGGTCGTTAGGAGACTGGAGAGACACGAGACGTTTAGAAGCCGAACATCTGTATTCAAGAATAAGATATGCACACCTGCCAGAGTTCCTGAACTTTCTCTGTATCTAGAAGGGAACGTCCCCTCCAGATGATTCTCTGACCCTGCACGCGAGGCCCACCGGCGCATGCCCGGAATATCTCCTCCTTGACGTCAAGGACGGTACTCTCCTCCGGGACACTGATTGTAATTGTGTGAGAGTATGCAGGTAACTCTACACGAATTTCAACCAGAGCCGTCATGGAGGATTGTGAGTAAGTGTTCAATGGTGTACCCAGTGACACGTTGTCGTGTTCGTGGTGTTATGGGGTGCCGACGGCGATATGCGATCACATGACGTAATTAGTATTGTTCAACACTTGTTGTGGACTGGAGTGGATACAACGAGCAGGACCAACGAATCCGAGCCTGAGGGAAACGTGATTATAATTTACCGTAACGACGCAAAATGCGATCTTCTACTTCCTCCCCGATCCATTTATATTGACCGTCAGAGAACTGCAAGTGATCTTTCTCCGCCTTGAACAATTTCGAGTAATCTTGTGGACCAGCAGCCGGTGCCGTATTGAAAGAGGTCATGCTCTGGGAGGAATCCGCGGCTGTCACAGTTGATAAGCGGCTGGTCTCGGGGTTTGTTCCATCAAGACAACACACAATTATCACCGCCCAGAATAAGACGATATAGACCATTGAGACCAAAGAAGTTGAGGAAGTACCAGGACAGAGACGAAACCCAGCGGACGTCCATGTCTGGAGTCTCGATGCCTCGTTGCAGCATGGACTTGAATCCCAGAGTCAACGGGAAGGGAAGCTTGACTGGAAGAGATACGGTCAGCGGGACCCTACAGTCGAACTGTGCAACACACTCAGAACAAAGCCCTGGAAGAAGAAATTGATCCATCCCATGATGACCATTTGAGGGACCATCATAACTGCGAAAGGGTGTCAATCCCTGGTGAATCCGAGATGCAGGCCACCGAGAAGCACAGACCCATTTGAGTTTTCAGTCCACCCATCATCCCCTCCATAGCTGCCGGGTCGCTCATGGGGTTGGGAGGTCCTTTCGGTGCGTTACCCTCACGAGGAGGCCCGTCTTTCAGATACGTGCCAGCCTCGAACGCCTCCGAGAGATGTCGCGAGATAGAGCGATAGTACGTCGGAGGTATGGGCGAGTTGGCAGAGGTCGCTCGCAAGATTTGAGAACGCGCCAAAGCACGCCTGGCCGACGATCAGTTCAGAACATAATGCTAGGCAGGGCGTACTGTTCACGAAGAGCTTCGCGCGAGAGCTTTTGAGGAGAGGCTTGGAGAAGGACAACGACATAGTGCCTCAGGATCCCCACAAGGATCTAAACGCAGTTGGAAAAGAAAGTGACCGCCTTCGCGGTAAGCACGAACCATAACCAAAGTGATGGGGAAAAGAACCCAGTCCCGGATTTGCGGGTCCAGGTATAGAGATACCCTATGCATTTGTATGAGAGGAATGTACCAGGGAGATGCTGAGGGCATACGCTGAGCTGGACATGGTCGCGGAAGTGGACGAATATGACAGTCACTTCTCGAAAGCCGAATCGGGTCGGACACGTGCAAGTGCACCTTATTCCCTCCCTTCACGACGATGAACAATTCACCCACCACCCTTTTCGATTCTTATGAGCAGGACTTCCAACAATTCATAGAGACCATTCGCCAGAAGCTGGACGGTGAAGGCAAAGATGACAGCGGCGGTATAGACCTTGCGCCCCTCCGCCCGCAGCAACTTAGCCACCCACAGAACAACGCAAGGCTTCTCTAAGGAGAGCCGAAATGGAGCTCGACGAGGCAGACGAGATGGTACGGGAGGCTTCTCCGACCATGTCCTGCCATTTGCCGACGTAATCTAGGTCTCGCAAATGGAGATTGAAATCCAGGGCATTCCTCAGTCAATACGACCGCAGTATCAAACCCGCTTGAAGAACGCCAAGCTCGAGCTCGCACGATACAAGAAGCAGTATAAGGAGGTGCATGCTCAGCTCGCTCGTAGCGCTCTGTTAGCCTCGTCGAAGCATTCTGGAGCCTTCACTTCGGATGAGCCTTACGGTCCGGCCACCGATCGCACCCGACTTCTGGCAGGAACTGCTGTTCTCGAGGATGGCACCAAACGGCTCCAGGACTCGCATCGTATCGCCCTTGAAACTGAAAGCCAAGGCGCGGACATCCTGATGAACCTGCGTCAACAGAGAGAACAAATCGTTCACTCTCGTGATACCGTGCGTTCTCCCCTTCCCTTTCTTACTCGCCCTCAACGGTCGTAGTTGGAAGCCGCCAACACCCACATCGACCGCGCGTCCGGAACACTCAAGGGAATGATCAGAAGGTGCGGCTCTACGCTGATGAATGTCATTCACGAATAGCTCAAACAGGATATTCTAGGATGTACCAGCAGCGGGTTGTGACTGGGGCGATCATTCTTGTACTTGTTCTGCTTATCGGCATCATTCTCTATGAGAAGCTCATTGCTTAATCTATATTCTTATGTATCTTCCGTTTTCGCTCCGGCCTGGATTAATGCATTGTACAAGTACACGGTATGAGTACGTCCATAGAAAGCGAGCCTAATAACGGCCTTGTTCGGGGTCGGGACCGGAACGCCATGATTGCTGCTGAGAATGCTGAGGGTGTCCTCCGTAGGCATCCGAATCTTCATAGGCTAGGCCACTGGGCGGAGATGTAAACGCGCCCGGTGCGGCTCGCTGTTGGGGACGGGGACTGGGCACTGCCCGGCCCTGGTATACATCCGACGGGTCGAAGTTCTGACTGGGGGTTCCTGTGCGATCCGTGGGATATTGGGAGTGGGAGTACTGGGGAGCTTCCCCGTAGTATGATTCGGGCGGCGCAACAGAGCCAGTTCGATTCACCGGTTCCGCATAGTAAGGTGCAACAGAGCCAGCACGATCGATGGGTTCGGCGTAGTATGGTGCGACGGATCCGGCTCGGTCAATGGGTTCGGCGTAGTACGGGTTAGGAGGGGCAGCTGATCCCGGACGGACGATGTTGTGTTGTCCATGAGCAAATGGTGCAGCGCCAGAAGTAAGCTGTGTCGTGCTTTCGTCGCCATACTGAGTTTGATACTCGTCCTGAGCAAGCGTGGCCTGCGATGGGTTGTATTTCGCATAAGCGTCTGGAGCTTGATAATTGGAATAGGGGTTATATGCGGGCATCGCAGGAGGATTCGACTTGTGATCGCTGTAGTAATACGAGTCCTGGGTGTACGTGCTTGGAGCAGGACCGCGGGTGTAGATTGAGGCCTTGTCGTCCAAGTCGTCGTCCACGGAGAGGTTTGGCAGGGTAGGCTGCGGAAGAGGCTTCGAAGTAAAGACACCTTTCTTGTTCTTGAGATGAGAGAAGTCGCCACGGGCTTCGCGCAACGCCTGTTTCTGATTCTCGTCCAGTCTCTGCTTTTGACGCTTCTTGATCACATGCTCGATACGCTGAAACACAGGTCAGTGAAGAATCGATGACCCTGCGGAGAATGTAGACCTTGTCGACTTTGTGGCAGCAATATTCCTGATGGTGTTTAAGCAAACACCTCTGGGACTGGGATCGGGAAACTCCACCTTCAAGTTACCACGGATGTAGCAGAGCAAAGGAACATAACAGAAGCAGGCAGCAACCAAGAGCAGCAGAGAACCGGAGAAAACGATCACAGTGAACAGAGTAGTCACAAGCAGGATGGATGTCGAGGGAGTGTTCCCTGCGAAATAGGCACTGATATCCCATCCGGCTTTGGCGTGCTTAGTTTCCCACACAGCGTAAAGAGTGAGAGCATTGATCGTCTGACGAGGGCCGTCAGCCAACAACACCCGCTTCCAACCTGTATACGCGAATAGATTAGCTTCGGCTGAAGTGAGCCTAAGCGGACGCACTCTTGAAAACGAAGAACACAAAGAAAGCAAAGTCGTCGCTCGTCTTAGTGGAGTTGCTGATATGGTCAAAGAAACAAAAATGATCGTATGACCCTGAACGCAAGGTGTCAGGAACCAGGTAACAAGTTCCGTTGATGGACTGACGGAGAGAATAGTAGTTGTTGGCCAGCACGTTGGTAAACGCATATGAGATGTCATGACTCGCAACAATAAGCTTGGCCTTGCGAGACTCGTATCCCAGCTATGACAATCATTCAGATGGATGCAGAGGCGCCTGTCAGCGGCCAACGTACCAACAGGAACGAGAAGATAATGCAGCCCACAAACAACCACTTGCCAGTATTGAAAGGAATGAACACACAGCCGGAGGACTGGGCCGTGCATGCGTTGAAGATCTGATTCGACCAGCCCGTTGTCGTCAACATGGTCACGGCGGTAAAGATGTCCGACATGTATACGGCGAAAGACTTGAAGAAGATCATGAACAGGAAGAAGTATTTCATGCGCATTTTGAAGCCGTTATCCCGGAAGTCGGCGACGGAGATGAAGTCGAACTGAACGACTCGTGTTGGAAAAGACACGACACATATGTTGCAAACTGTGCACCTTATGGTCTTGAACGACCTCGCGCTTCCATTTGGGGCCACCACAGGCACACATTGTAGAAAGAGAGTCGAGGGTGTTAGGTTATTCTGTACGACACCAGAGCGATCCAGTCGCCGGCAGTGTCAGAGGCAGCGAGCGATGGACGTTGAAAGAGCGGCGAGATGAAGTGAAGCGGTAACCACAGCTGTCACGCTGCCGTTTTGTCACGACCTTTAGGTACATCAGCGGTGTCCAAACAATTATCGGCATCATTGACTTCGACCACAATGACGACCGTCCAAAAAATCAAGGTGCATTGTCTACGCGTCCTTTTCATTGAACAAGCGTCCTGATCGGTGTACCGAAAGGAAATCGAAGATGAGATGGCGAAAAGTGCGTCAAATGATCTTGCCGACGCCAAACATCGAATGCAAACATCTCTCAAGCGCAGAAGAATAAGGCCACGAGCTACCATCTTGGACAGCTCAAGGCCAAACTCGCAAAACTAAGGCGTGAGCTTATTGCGCCATCTACCGGCAGTGGAGGCGGAGGTGGTGGTGTGGGTTTTGATGTCGCCAGGTCTGGAAGCGAATGCCAGTCTTGAACGTATGGTCGTCTGACCATCCGTAGAACTGGTGTAGCATCCGTAGGCTTCGTGGGATTCCCTTCAGTTGGAAAGGTGGGTGGTGGATCCTCCTCCCTCGATACGTATACTAAACTATGTGAAGTCAACACTTATGAGCAAATTAACCGGCACACACTCAGAAGTATCTGCCATTGATTTCACAACACTCACGACCGTACCTGGAACTGTGCGCATCGATCGCATTCTTCGTGTCAGGACGCTGAGCGTGTGCAGGTCAAAGTGCACGGTGCACCAATTCAGATCCTTGATCTACCCGGTATCATTGAAGGTGCTGCCGACGGTCGAGGCCGTGGTCGACAAGTCATCGCCGTAGCGCGGACCTGCAATCTTATCTTCATCGTTCTTGATGTGTTAAAACCGCTGGGCGATAAAAAGATCATCGAAGACGAGCTGGAAGGGTTCGGCATTCGACTGAACAAGAAACCACCAGCCATCACCGTCCGCAAGAAAGAGAAGGGTGGAATCGCGATCACAAATACCGTTCCGTTAACCAACATCGACCACGACGACATCAAGGGTATCCTCAGCGAATTCAAACTGAGCAACTGTGATGTTGCCATCCGCGAGCCTAATGCTACTGCCGATGATCTTGTCGACGTGATTGAGGGGAACAGGTACGCTGTCCCTTTTCTTTGGTTTGAACACCGCTGCTTATCTGCTGTAGAGTGTACATTCCAGCAATCTATGTATGTCGTCTTGGCCAATTATTTGTCGAGTCACGCTGAACGGCATGAATAGGTCTTGAACAAGGTGAACTTGACATATACCTTGCACCTTTGCTTTTCTGAACCCATGATCTTTTTCAGATTGACGCCATCTCCATCGAAGAACTGGATCTGCTATACAAGATTCCGATGTCTGTGCCCGTCTCCTCCAAGGAATGGATGAACATCGATGAACTGGTCAGTCGTCTCCCTGTTGCCTCAGATCTAGTGGTTGACGTGAGTCAGATTGATGTAATGTGGAAGACACTCGATCTTGTAAGAGTATACACCAAACCACGGGGATTGGCACCAGGTAGGCGGCTTCTTTTCTCCATTGGTGTTTGCCTGTAACACCTGCTCAGATTACACCCAACCGGTTGTTCTGAGGCAGGGAAAATGTAGCATCGAAGATTTCTGTAACGCCATCCACAAGGAGATTGCGAAACAGATGAAATAGTCTGTCCTTTACTTTGAACCCCCCGGTTGGCGTCGCTAATGCTAGCATCTAGCGCTATTGTCTGGGGTGCAAGTGCCAAGCATGCACGGGGGCAGAAAGTCGGACTAGATCACATACTTCAAGATGAGGATGGTGCGTGATATATCGTCAAAAGCCGAATGTGTTTCTGAATCTTTGCCAGTGGTGCATATCTCGAAGAAGTAGATGACATTTTGTGTACAACAGTCTTCAGATACGATTCAGCTGTCCTTGGTATGTTGTCTCGTGGAGATAAACGAACATCAGCCTGCAGAAACACCACACCAGTCCAACAGCACAATACACGCTCGTCATCATCAGCGGCAAGAACTGCATTGTAGACTCTGAGCACGCGGCATCCTCCGATGGCGTGCATGTGGTGCTGGATCGCGCGTTGAGAATCATAAGAACCACCTGGAGGACCACGAAGCCACCCAGGTAGACCCGCTCTAATCGGTCGATGATCACAAAGGACAAGGATTTAGGGAATCTAGTCGTGGTTAGAGTAGATTGCGTAGACAGCAAGGGACACATACTCATAGACTCTGCGCGTCAGCGGAACATAGACGAATATGACCCAAACAGCAGAGTATATCACTTTGACTATCGATTCTGAGCAGCGCATTAGAGGATTGTCATGTTTTCGCCGTTGAATATTCACCTCCTGGGGTGAAGATCAGAGGGAAGAGCGAAAAGACGCCAGCGACACTGGCTATAACAAATGTCCGGAAATACGCATGCCTTTCGGCGGCCAACAAGCTGCAACCGAGTCAGACAACGACGAGGAGATTTCTGCAGAAGATCTGATGTACCTGAGCGGAACGAGGACGAGCAAGATAGCTTTCTCATGGACATGCCAGCCGAACAAAAAGGACGCGTAACCGCAAAGCGTCAGAGCCGTCAGGAAAGACTTGTATGTCGGAGTGAACCACAGTTTGACCAGTGCAACCGATTGGAAGGCAACCGTTATGATGAAAGTGTGGATGGGCTTGATATTCGGGAGCACTGCGAAGACTGTATCGCCAACCAGTCCACGAGACGTCGAAGCAACACCGGAGGCATTGATGGATGCATCGACACCTAGCCGAGACGCAACTGGGGCAGAGTAAACATCAAATTTGGTCACTAGGAACCTTACTCACATCGCAGGAGAACCCTGTCAGCAGCGGTAACCAGCGCCCATGCGTTCGGGGCCCAGTACGCGTGATTCAGGCCCCGAGTAAACGGGAACAGGCGAGACAGCACTTGGGGGATCTGGCCCATCACGATGAAAGGCCCGAAAGACACGATGAAAATCGCGATCACGGCGTTGGCAAGCGCAAGAAAGTTCTTGATCTCGATCTGTCCGCTGGGCGACATGCAGAAGGAGCGCAGGAGATACACAAAGTATGCGGGCTGAATGACAGAGGTAAGCCGACCTTAACTTGGATGTGGAGCGGAAATGACCGACCGCCAGGTACATGTAGATGTGCTTGAAATTGAGCAGCACCGCAAAAAGGATGCCACTTGCTAGTTTATTGCCCTATTCGGGTGAGTTCCACACGAAGACCACACGATGTCGGAAACCCACGTTGCGAGCCATGAGGATTGACCACAGCAAGATACCGAACATGAATCCATTGTACTGGAAATGTATGTGGTCCACGATCAAGAAACCCGGATGGAGGAAGAGAGAAGCCGATATGATGCGTTGTGTTGGTGGATCGACGGAACCACGGATGAATCTATATATTGTGCGTCAGTGGCCAAGTGGACACGTATAATTCGACCAACCGGAGGAGAACGGCGCCCAGAACTAATTCAGATACAATGACCGTGCTTCTTTGGTACGCAATCACGCTCCAAGAGTCGTAGTTGAGATTGTTAAGGTCGACGATAGCAGGGTCGATGAAGGAAGCGGGAATCGAAAGTAGCTTTTCGAAGTATGCGAAGAAGGGAGGGTAGTCAAGCGCTTCCAGGAGATCAACAAGCATTCTATGCATATAATGAGAGTCTCACTCCACTCCGATGTTGTCTATTTCCTGGTCAGCTCACTGGCTAACAGAAAGGGAACGCGACGCACATCGTAATACCACTTGGATATGGGAAGGGAGTGTGTGATCGCCAGCCAATTGCGATGGACTTCGAAGTCCGTGGACCGACTACGGCGGGTTCAATGTCGTCCTGAATTGTACGTGTGGGGACTCACTAGGCCGGGAACAGAAGTAACTTGACGCAAGTCGAGAGGAGCAACAGATCATATTCCGTGCTGTCCAGGTTCCATGTAAACCACGACGATTGCACCGACGGCGAGGCTTTCGTCGGAGACTTGGGCGGCTCGGACGCGTCTCTCGTATGTGTTGACTCCATAGAACGCGTTCGCAAGCCCTTCGAGCGGTAGACACGTTTCAGAGACACCAAGGGTATTACACGGGTTTTGATCAGGTGGCTGTGATGCCTGTCGATCACCAGGCCGCCCCGCCATCAAATCGCTCTCAAAATTTTGGCATGAGCCATCCTCCGCCTCGCGTGCAGTACAACGCTCGCGCGCGACAATCGGCCGCCGGAGGCTCGAAAAAGAAGGGCAAGAGGAAGCAGAATCCTATCCGAGATGACGGTTTCGACGCGAATGCACCTATAATCATCCCGAAGTCGAAGGAGGAGGTGGAGTTGGGTCGGAAGGAGAGATTAAGGGCAGAGGTGCGCCGAATCGCCCACCACGTGGATCGTCTACTAATTGGATTGATGCAGCTTGCTGCTCAGTCCGAATCCAAATGGAGTAGCAAGAAGCGCAAGAGATTGGACAAGTATATCGTGAGTTCAACTAAACGTATTGACCTTAACTCCTCCGACACGCCGAATAGGAGAAGAAACTCAAGAAGGAAGAACGGGTCCAGATCTTGGAAAAACTGGCGTGCGTCGAAGACATTCTCGTTTTGTCTCTGTTGACGGTACAGACAGTCAAACGCAGGCTTCATTGCCGAATTCGTTCCATCTCCAATCTTCTTCGACGCTCGGGACAGGCAAGACTACATCGCATAGCGACTACCTGGCGAAAGCCGAAGACAAGGAAGTCCGAAGAGCTCTCGACGGACAGACTTCCAAACGACGCCGACAGCCAGACTCCTACACTGTGATCGAAGCGGACGAAGACGACGAGGACGACGCTGACGAGAGATCTGACTTGGTGGAAGACAGTGCAGTACCTCAACTAGCGCCCACTGTGAATTCCGCAACCGCCGTCGGTAGCGCTTTGAAGCGCAACGCGGATGGATCGGTGGTTGCGCCAAAGTTTGTTCCCAGAAAACGAGATAAGAAGGTGCGTACCGCACTCACTTCGGACCAGCCATCTTGATGTCACCTATCAGCTCTCGTTCAAAAGCTGGAGCAAGCATAGACCGGCACCTGTCGTGGAGGAAGAGTCCGATTCATCATTTGACAGTTCTGACTCTGGTAACGACAGTTCGGGCGACGAAGCTGAGCCTGAAGCGGAGAATGATGTTTCCTCTGAACGAGAAGAGGATGAATCCCCCTTATCCGAAGATGACCCGGCAGAACCGGTAGAAACGGCAGTCTCTCTGAAAGTCAAGTTCAAAGATTGGGCGCAAAAGCAGCTCAGTCTTTCCAAAGGCTACATAGCAGACCCAACAATTCCATCCCCTACAATTACACCTCCCCAAGCAGACGAGCCCACACAGCCTCCCAGGAAAAAGCGAAGACTGTCAGATCCGAAGCCTCCCGGAACAAAACATGGGCCCCTGGGAGTAACGCTCGAGCTCCCCAATGGCGCATTTGCCCAGCACGTGCTTGAGTCCTCTTCGACGTCGTCACTGAAATACGTGACCATCTCTCGCCCACCGGATGTGGACGATGCTCGTAGCGAACTTCCGATAGTGAGGGAGGAGAATCGGATCATGGAGAGCATTCTCTTGAATCCAGTCGTTGTCATTTCTGGTGAGACGGGAAGCGGGAAGACCACCCAGGTGCCACAGTTTCTCTACGAGCACGGATTTGGCTCGCCTGGAAGCGGCGAGTGTTTTCGTTGGTCCTCCACGCATCTGAGCTGAAAATCAACTACAGACAACCCCGGCATGATCGGTGTTACGCAGCCCCGACGGGTGGCCGCCATGTCCATGGCAGCGCGAGTTGCGCACGAGATGGCATTGCCCACATCGCGTGTTTCCTACCAAATCCGCTACGACGCCACGGTCTCTCCAACGACGGCTATCAAATTCATGACTGACGGAGTGTTGCTGCGCGAACTTGCGACCGATTTTCTCCTGACCAAGTACTCGGTCATCATCATCGATGAAGCACACGAAAGGAGCATGAACACAGATATCCTGATTGGAGTGCTCAGTCGTGTCTTGAGACTTCGCGAGGAAATGTGGCTGGCTAACAAAGCTGATTTCAAGGTTAGCACATTCTTCTTCCGTCTTTGAAGTCGTTCATTCAGAAGGAAACAGCCTCTGCGGCTAGTCATCATGTCAGCGACGTTACGAACGAACGACTTTGTACAGAACAAGACGCTCTTCCCAGCCCCTCCACCTCTCATCGTCGTCGAGGCCCGTCAGCACCCAGTAACGGTTCATTTCAGCCGGCGGACCGTCGGTGACTACGTCACGGAGGCTGTCAAGAAAGCGACCAAAATCCACACGCGTCTGCCGCCTGGCGGCATTTTGGTCTTTCTGACCGGACAAAATGAGATCACTGGAGTTTGCCGACAGCTGGAGGCCAAGTTCGGTGCCAAGGCTCTGGAGAGGAAGCGGCGGGTGAGAGAACAGGACGAAAGCACTGTCGACGTCTTTCAGCCTGCGCACGGCAAGTCTCTCCTTGGATCTCATCGCTCTCATCGCTTACCAGGATGCAGCCGACGTCGAGGCCGAAGATGTTGAACTTGGATCTGGTGAACTGGCCCTCGACGTGGATGACGGAATGGGCGAGGATGATCCTGAAGCACTGGATACCGACGAGGAAGAAAGCGAAGAACACCAGTTGGACAAAGAGCTTGGGCTCGACTCAAACGGCTGCGATGTGCCGATGCACGTCGTGCCTCTGTACTCGCTTCTGCCGAGCGAGAAACAGATGCAGGTCTTCCAGCCTCCTCCAGAGGGCAGTCGGCTTGTAGTGGTCTCGACCAACGTAGCCGAGACATCGCTCACCATTCCGGGGATTCGCTATGTCGTGGACTGCGGGCGAGCGAAAGAGGTAATGCAGACTGCCAAGCGTACAGCGCAATCAACTGACGGCCAAATCAGCGGAGGTACGATGTCGCCAATGGCATTCAGGCCTTCCAGGTGGGCTGGATCTCCAAGGCATCTGCTGCCCAGCGAGCGGGCCGAGCAGGCCGAACGGGCCCTGGCCACTGCTATCGGCTATTCTCGTCCGCGCTCTTCGAGCATCACTTCGACCAGTTCGCTCAGCCGGAAATCGCGCGGATGCCCATCGAAGGCGTCGTTCTCCAGATGAAAAGCATGCACATTGATTCTGTCGTCAACTTTCCTTTCCCCACGTCCCCGGACCGGACCACACTCGCCAAGGCCGAGAACATACTGACCCACCTTGGAGCCCTTGCAGAAGGAAACGCCAAGAACGATGGGCAAATCACCGACCTGGGGCGTATGATGGCTTTGTTTCCGCTCTCTCCGCGCTTTTCGAGGATGTTGGTCAGCGGACAGCAGCACGGGTGCTTGCCGTACATCATATCCATTGTCTCGGCACTGTCTGTCGGCGACCCGTTCCTCCATAACGAGCACCTGGGCGAAAATGACAAAGATGACCGCAAGGACTTCTACAAGACTCAGCATGTGAGTGGATGGTTATCATGGCATTGCTTTCGATCTTATCTTATCGGACCCAGCAACATTCGTCGTTGGGCAACTTCACGAGCGACGTCTTCCGCATCTTGTCTGTAGTCGGCGCATATGAGTTTGCCGGCGGCGGAATGCAGTTTTGCCAGCAGCATTTCGTGCGGCCCAAGGTTAGCCATAGCACTTCAACACTTTCAAATGGGAGACTGACAGACTCGTAGGCGATGGAAGAGATTCATAAATTGCGTGCCCAAATCAGCAACATCGTTCAGGCCAACTTCTCGAGTGTCGACGCTGGATTCGATCCGAAGCTGAAGCCTCCAAGTGACCTGCAGCTGAAAGTTCTTCGGCAGCTGCTGACCGCAGGCTTTATTGACCAAGTAGCCGTGCGCAAGGACCGTCTCGACAAGAGCGGCAGCGGCGGCTCCGGAGCCCAATACACGACAGCCAAAGGGGTGGCATACCGAGCCATGGGGATCAACGAGGATGTCTTCATCCACCCTTCGTCTGTCCTCTTCAACGTGTCACCCCCCGAATACGTCGTCTTCAGTGAGGTGGTGCGGACCAGTCGCTTGTGGATCAAGGGTGTGACTGCCATCAACCCGGTCTGGATCTCGTCTCTGGCCAATTCGTCCCTGTGCACCTTCTCCAAGCCCACAAAAAACGGCAAAGGAGATCTCGTTGTCACGCCACGATTTGGCAGCGAGGGCTGGGAGCTGCCACCTGTGAAAGCAGGCTCAGTCAAGTCATAATATGTGTTGTAGTATCAAGTAGCATGTGTGTACGTGGGTCTGAAGATGCCATGTGAGGATCATAGCGGTGCTGATAAGATGAGAGATCTCCCATCATTCGACCCACTGCGACACGTGATGCTCCTGAGTCTTACATTACTTTCCCCCTCACAAGTAGCACAAGATGAGCGAACAGATCGCAGCGGGGAAGTTGACTGCGGATGCAGTAGCAAGGTAACGTGTATCTTGTGACCCGTGGCGACCGTTCTCAAAGCAGCAGCGCCCAATTGACCAAGCTTCTCGCATTCACGCTTTCTCTCGGAATAATCCCATTAGGCTCCTACTTTGCTTCTCAGAAATACCTGTGGAATGGTACATCGTGCGTTGCGGGCTAAAAAAAGACCTAACCGCCATGCGCAGGCAACGCAACATACGCCGCTCTGACGGCGGTCGTTGGAGCCAACGTCGTTCTCGTCGCATACATCATCATGTCCGTTCTCGAGGACCAACAGTCGCGCACGCCCGTCCCGGAATCAAAGAAGGACAAATAAGGAAGGGATTACAGGTCGGTGCTCTATTACCCGAAAAAAGTATCTAGGTTTGTGTGTTCATATGATACCAATACATCCGTTTGATTGCGGCCACAGGCCAGTTAACACCGCGTTGTCGACTGGCATAAATAGGACTGTTCATGATTATACGGCATATCCCCAATGAACATTGACAGAAGGCTGGGACGGAGGTGCCGGCGAGAGTTGCGGTTGCTGCAGAAACACGTCAGACATGACATATGGACTCAATGGATGCCAGACATACCGGGCGACCGGCTGGACGCAAGACGGCTGGAGTCTTTTGAGTGGCTGCGATGTCGCTCGACGCATTACGATGCGTGATGGCGTTCAACGGGGCTAAATGGGGCACGGACTGTGCCGTTCGAAGGCGAAGCGATGTAGTTGGTGGCGTGCTGGGATCTCTGGGCAAGGGTGAAAGGCGTGAAGGAGAGTAGGATTGCCGAGCGGGATATGAAGCTGCGTCAATGAAAGACCGAGGTGTCGTCGGCGTCGCTACAGGCGTGGAATCCCCAGAACTTAACAGCGGGGAAGGGGGAAGCGGTGCTATGCTCGGTGTCGGGTGCAGCACAAGCGGTTTCGGTGTTCCTCGCCGCCGGACCCGGAGAGGCGGAGGCGACGGAAATAGGGCTAATGTGCGCCGTTCGCTCTGCCCTGATTCGTCTGTCGAGGCCTCGGAGTCGGAGTCCAGATCGAGCGCGGGCCCCGAGGCTAGGTAGGGCGTCGATTTGGTGTAATGCAGGCTGGGACGGCCGCCAGCGTGCGATGCAGCCGCCAGACGTCGCTGAGATGGGAACGGATCTTCCCTGGTTTCTTCCTCTGCTGCATCTCGAATGAAGCCTTCCCACACATGATCAAGCTGGGGCACGCGGTGGATTGCCCTCACCGGACTCCTCATTGAACTGGAGCTGGAACTGGAACTGGGCATGGCAATAGACCCGTTCTGGTGCCTTATATCCGCATCATTCCAGTCTAGATCAAGCGACGGTGGACGGGCGGGCCGTCGAGGCTGCTCTAGAGGCTGACGGTTGGGAGGTCGCCGCGCGGCCGATTGTCGAGGAGACCGCACTGCCGGCGGAGGGATTAAAGCAAAGGGATCGTCCATGTCGTCCACATGACTGTGGCCCGGGGCAACTCCAGAAATAGAGTTCTGGTGGTAGGACGGAACGACTGTGGGCGGGCTCGAGAGAGCGTCGGGTGCCTTGTATTTCGAGACATGAGCCTCCGAGACAGACCGGGGGGTCTGGGGACGGTCTTTCTTCCTCCAGCTGCGGAACATTGGCAGAAAGAGACGGAGATGGAGGTGATGGGAGAACGCCTAAGAAGCTTGGAGCTTCCCGATCTTATAGATGGACTTTCACTCTACTTGTGACCCTTCCGAGCCCATCAAAGGCCTACTGGGAAGATGGGAATCAGTACCTGGGAGAGATTACGACAGATGAAAAGAGAGGCTGTTATTGTTGCCCCCTGAGACTCCCAGGAGCAGATATGTGACCAAGCGATCGCCTTCCCCTGAAGCCTTGCACGACCGAAAGGGACGCAGAGCGAGCAGTAAAAGACAGTACAAGGCCTGCGTCGTCGTCACAAGAAAACCGCGACCGTTCCGCGGCAAACAAAAGATCAGGGATTGAGATATGTCGTGCAGCTGTCTTTTCGTTCCTGAAGGGCTTGATTGCCAGCTAAACTTGGCAGTCCTGCATACCCGGTGGCTACCGTGTCTGGCATCACCGTGGAGAACGCTCGGAGCCTGCTTACTGGAGCATGCGTTGTTTGTATAACATGGCATGAAGAAAGCGAACGGCATAGTCCAGAACGATGACGCTCCGGACCGAACCGAGCTGCCAATGTCTGACACCGGATTTCTGACCATTTTTGAACAGCGTCTTTGATTTATATCGAGTTCTATGGTACAAAGTCTAAAGAAGAGTACATATGCGAGACGGAGACATGGGATGTAAATACTAAATAGCGATGGATACAAGTTGCATGCAGTCATTAAAATTAACTAGAAGTCCTCGTCCAAAACACTGCGAACGAAGTGAGTAAGCAAGCATCGGAGACGGTGAAGAAATTACTCACAATGACTTGGCTGACGTCTGAGCAGCATTGGTGCCAGTGTTCGAGATGTTGGCCTTGGAGTAATCTGACACACGCTTCTCGAAGAAGTTGGTCTTGCCCTGGAGCGAGATCATCTCCATGAAATCGAAAGGGTTTGTCGAGTTGTAATGCTTCGGGTTTCCGAGAGCGACTAGCAAGCGGTCGGCGACAAACTCAATATACTGGCACATGAGCTTGGCGTTCATGCCGATGAGACTGACAGGCAGTGCGACTACGGACAACTCAGTGAGACGGCCATCAAGGGTGAGGATGCAACGCACCGGTTAAGAACTCCTGCTCAATGGCAACAGCCTCCGTAATGATGCGATTCAGGGTATCCGGGTGAGGACGACGCTTGAGGTGGGTGAACAGCAAGCAGGCGAAATCCGTGTGCATGCCCTCGTCACGACTGATGAGCTCGTTGGAGAAGGTCAAACCAGGCATGAGCCCGCGTTTCTTCATCCAGAAGATAGACGCAAACGACCCCGAGAAGAAGATGCCCTCGACGGCAGCGAAGGCGACCAGTCGTTCGCCGAAGGTAGACTGTTCATCGGTGATCCACTTCAAGGCCCACTCAGCCTTGCGCTTAATGCAGGGAATTGTTTCGATAGCATCGAAGAGGTAGTCGCGCTGAGCAGGGTCCTTGATGTAGGTGTCGATGAGGAGTGAGTAAGTCTCAGAGTGAATATTCTCCATCATGATTTGGAACCCGTAGAAACACCGCGCTTCGGCAATCTGTACTTCATTCGAGAAGCGCTCGAGCAGGTTCTCATTGACGATGCCATCAGACGCGGCGAAAAAGGCAAGCACGTGAGAAAGGAAGTGACGTTCGTCGTTGTTCAGTTTGTTGTTCCAGTCGTGCAGGTCCTTCGACAGGTCCATCTCCTCAGCTGTCCAGAAAGACGCCTCGGCCTTCTTGTACATTTGCCAGATCTGACGCGAAGCCAGTCAGTATGAGATAGAGGAACCCAACGCCGTCACGCACCTCGTTGTACTGAATAGGGAACAGAACGAAGCGACGACGCGTCTCTTTTAACAGAGGCTCCTCGCCTAGGGTGGCACGTCAGACAACGACGCGTCAACGCGTGTAGAGATACACACTTTCGGGTAAATCAATATCGCCAACGAACTTCTTCCTCAACTCGGTGAGACGGGCCTCCTCGTCGGCCTCCGACTCTGGCGACGTAGAACGACGTGCGTCGTCGACGAGCTGGAGCGGAGCAATCTTCTTCACAGGGGACTCGAGGGAGAAGGCTGCAACCTTCGAAGCAATCTGGGTCATGTCAATACCCGCGACGCGTGGGAGTTGAAGAGTACTCGCCTGCTTGCTCGGCGTAGCAAAGACGTCGGGAGAGGGAGCGCGGGCGACAGTAGGGACAGAGGCCATTGAATGTATGAGAGTGGGGTAGTGTTGGATGGAAGGGGAGGAGTCCGGTGAAATGTAAGCGGGAAAGCGTGAGCTTTTTAAACAACTACCGTGCAGCTTGTCAATGTTTGGTCCGCGTCTTCAACAAACTTTTGTGAATCACATCAAATGGTCGTGTTGGGCATTGTGTACCTTTACTGACGCGTTTGCACGTGATCTCATTGTCTTCCTGCCTCTCGGAAATGTGGGCCATCGTATCGAAAAAAAGCTGACAACCGTGAGGTGAAGAGGTTCGACGTGATTACGCGACGTAACATTCGATCTCGATCCTCGCCCAGACATTTAGCCCGGGATCTGATACAGCCTGAGAAAGACGCAGGAAAGTCGTGCACCGGAGCCGAAGGCAGTCGAGCCGTCGTCGATATATCCAAGGCACTGGGGGCCGCCATCAGACAGAGAGAATGCGGCAGAAACAAAAGCACGCGGGAGCTTTCATGTAACAGTAGCTGTCATACTATGCATGTCATATTCCTTCCTCGCAGAGATCACGCCGTCTGCATCTCATGGATTTTCCTCCCCGCCTCCCTCGACGGACCATAATCGACGGACCGCAATAGACGACTCTACCGAAAACCTGCATTCTCCGTCGCTGGTCAATCCCTTGTGTCTTGTCAACCCGTAAGAAATGTGGCACGCAGGAACATGCTCAGTGTGCCCCAAAGCCTCATCTCACGATCTTCGTGCGGACATGAAGCAAAGAAATGCCACTAAAGCAGTGGCATTTATTCGCTTCTTTCAAGGTCATCTTTAACTTTGAGATGAAACTTGATGGCTGAGCATACCTTTCTGTTTACTGTAGGTTTCTATTCAGCAATGACCTCAAATTGCATTTGAAGGCGCGAAAATAGTCTAAATACTTGTTCCGGAGGATAACGGAGTAAAATAAGGATGGTTGAGAAGCGATTCAATTGTCAGACCCACAGTGCGTTTCCAGACTCGCTGGCATTAATTGTAGTACGCTTTGATGGATGTGATCTTCATCATTCACGTGACCGCGTATTTTTCTGCTCTTGAATCTCAAGATGCTGCGACGACAGGCCAGAGAGCGTCGAGAATATGTATACGCCAAGTCTCTCGAGAGCCAGGAGAGGCAAACCTATGAGCGGAAGCAACAGCTCAAAGATGCTCTTGCGACCGGCAAAGCACTGCCCACCGAACTCAAGAAAGACGCAAAGGCGCTAGGGAAGGATCTAGCCCTGGACGAGGCGCAAGCTGGTCAGTGGGAGGTCTCATTTACTCAAATCTTCAAACTCTGACCAGAACAGATCCCACCAGCCATATCGACAATGAGTATTCGAGAGCCGGGGTACAAGACCCTAAAATTGTCATCACCACTTCACGAGATCCCAGCTCGAAACTACTTCAGTTTGCCAAGGTGGGCAATCGGTTCAGTTTCACTGATGATACTCATCTTACTCCTCAGGAAATGCGCCTAGTGTTTCCTAATTCACACCGCATCAACCGAGGAAACTACGTCGTGAAGGAGTTGGCTGACGCATGCAGGGCAAACGAAGTGACAGATCTCATAGTACTACATGAGCATCGTGGTGTGCCAGGTGCGTCACATCCAGATGCTCTAGGGCTTGCGCTGAAAGATGTCCCTATTCAGACGCCATGATTGTTTCTCATTTCCCCCATGGTCCGACAGTCTACTTCACCCTCAACAACGTCACCCTGAGGCACGATATCGGATCGTACAAGTCTTCCACCGTGTCTGAACAGTACCCGCATCTCATATTCGAGAACTTCAGCTCAAGACTGGGCGAACGAATACGCGACGTCTTGAAATTTCTCTTCCCAGTGCCAAAAGAAGACAGCAAGCGTGTGATGACCTTCTCGAATGAGAACGACTTCATTTCCTTCAGGTCAAGTGCTTAATTGCGCATGACCGGCTTGCATATTTATATGAATTGCAGGCATCATGTTTTTGTAAAAGTTTCGAGGCAAGTCCAACTTGCAGAGGTTGGGCCCAGATTCGACATGAAACGTTGGTCCATTTCCCATGTACTGCATCGAGGCTGATTGTTGTGATCCAGCGTATGAAATTCGACAAGGTACATTTGAACAGAATGAGGCAGAGCGAGAATGGGTTTTGGCACACTATGCCCGGACATCAAAGAAGCGTACTGTGCTATCTTCCCCTGCTGGACCTCACTCGGCCGCGACCGAGAGCACAAATAGTAGCAAGCGAATTAGAACGAAAGGATGAGAGCCCTTGCATTGCATGACATGTACCACTATCAATCTACCGTCAGGGTTGACTGGATCTGAGCGTAGTTCTCAAACAGAGAACGGAACAGGTCGATGGCATGTTGGGCATCGTGAGATCCAGCTGTCTCACGAATGGAGTGCATCGAAAGCTGCCCAAATCCGACATCGCAGGTCTTGAGGCCTAATGCCGACAGCCCAGGCCCAACGGTCGACCCGCATGACCTGAGTAGTAAGTAGCGCAGAAGGTTAGTCATGGGCCTCCACCTGCTCAGATACTCACATGTCGTTACGGACTTCGAACTCTTGCGTTCTGCCGCCTTTCCGCTCAGCCAATTGGCGTACTACGAAAGTAGTCACGGCATCTGAAGCGTAGCGCTGCCCCGCATTCGTCTTGATCACCACACCACCGTTCATGACGGGTTTGTGGTTGTCTTCGTGTTTCGAGGCGTAGTTGGGATGAACAGCATGGCCCATGTCGCACGAAAGAAGGAACGATTGCGCGATGCTCCGAGCATTTGCTCCCGGAGATGGCGCTAGTCGGTTAATGAAAGACGGGAGAACAGAAGATTCTGCCCCAGTTGTGGAGACACTGCCGATCTCTTCATGGTTGAAGAGAGAGATGCAGTTCACATTACCCTCGTAGCCCTCGAATTCAGGGCTGGTGGCGTACTGGGCCAAAGCCTCGACCGCACAGAATCTGAGTAAGAAATTGGTCAGTAGGCGGTAGGTTGTTTGCATCAAGAGGACACCGCACGAAGAGAATTGGTTGTCCATCCGAGGACTGAAGATAAATTCATGATTCAAGCCTCCCAGTACGGAGGCTTGAGTGTCGTAGAGAGACCTGCAACGTTAAGCTTCTGCCTGAGTCGTAAAAGACAGCTCACAGCTCGAAGTCGTAGATTTCCTCTGGGGCAATGCTCAGCTCTGTCGCAAGCAGATCCAAAAGAGCCGAGTGGTGGTTGTTCCTGATGCTGTTTGTCCCCTTGTCGTCTGCAGCCTGAGCGGGTGCTTCGTTGAACTGCGCAGCAATCTGGCCTAGAATAGGCACAAATTCGGTTTCCTTGTTGAACTTGAAACCCTGGTTTACGTCCCGGTCCACTAGACAGATGAGCCTCAGATAACACTCTTCAGATCAGTACAAACTAACAGTGAATGGCCAGATTAGGGATTCGCAGGATCGGACGATCGATCTTGAGCAGCTTGGACTTGAAATTACCCGCGTTTCCAGTGACGACGCGCCCAGCAAGAGAGAGGTCCCGATCGAACCTGGATACTAATCAACAACCGATAATAGCGTAGTTAGGCAAATCGCACGCGCCATGTGTGCCATAGACCCCCTCCGTACGTTTCAACGCCAACCTGCAAGTAGCCTTCCTTAGTGCGCTTGGAAACTGGTCGAACCTGTGAATTACTCAGATTTAAGAGCATCAGGGAGGGAGAACGCGACGTACCTTCAGATTCGGCGAGTCGACATGTGTCGCAACAATGCTTACGCCGGTCCCTTCCTCGGGTTTATAATTGGCGGGCAGGGTGAATGCGACGAGGGTAGCTTGGTTTCGTGTGAAGTAGTACTTTCCGCCAGGCTGAATTCATACACACATTCGGATTAGACCTAAGGAACGGGGTGCCATGTTACCTAGCTCACCGTAATGCTCTTCTCCCAGGCATCCTTCTCCAAGATCTTCTGGAAACCGGCCTTCTCCAATCGCGCAGCAGCGTTGTGTACCGCATGGAACGGCGTCGGAGAGGCGTTGACGAACTGCAGCAGACGCAGCGCGGCCTCGGGTCCTGGAATGGCAGCGGAAGGCATGATGTGCATGGCGCGGATTGTGCGTTCGAAGTCGCACGACCAAGTGTACTCGGCGATCTCCGAGGCAGCTCGGGAATGTTTGCTGTTCGGGAAATTTGAACTTTTCCTGCACCTAGTTTCGACGCGAACGTCGCTATGGTCGCGTCCTATCTTCGCCACGGGCCCACGCAGGTAAAACCGTCATTACGGATGATCTCTTCCTCTGATTTGTCTGTTCTAGGCTTTCGGCATCGTTTGCAGTGCATCGTCGAACTCGGACTACGATGGAAAATTTGCATACGTTCCTGCTCTTGAGGATATTCTCGTGTGGGACGTCAAAAAAGGCCAAATGGTTGCAATGTGGCATGAAACTGGCCACCGTGCAGAAGTCACTGTCGTGCTGCGGTCCCCCCAACGAGACACCTTCGCGGTAGGATACGCTGATGGCTCAATTCGACTTTGGAGTGCCGGGACGGGCTCGGTCATTACAACCTTCAACGGGCACAAAAAATCCGTCACAGCTCTGGCTTTTGACGATCGCGGCACACGTTTAGCTTCGGGATCTCAGGACACGGACATCATAGTTTGGGATGTAGTGGCGGAGTCGGGCCTGTATCGGTGCGATATCTTTGACTACGACTGCTTTTTCGCGCTGAGCGCATTCTATAGTCTTCGTGGTCACAGAGACCAAATTACTGCGCTCCATTTCATCACTATGCTTGACAATACGCCGTCAACTTCGACTGCACCCTCCTCGGGTCTTCTTCTCACTGCGTCAAAAGATACATTCCTCAAGTTGTGGGATCTTTCCACTCAGCACTGTGTTCAGACGATCGTGGCCCACCGAGCAGAGATATGGACGATGAGCGTCGATCCTAAGCAAAACCTCGTCTTCACAGGCAGTGGCGATGGCGAGTTGAAAGCATGGAGATTAGATCATACGGCCTTCGCCGACGGCCTGAAAGAAATGGAGACAGGCGAGGTGCGTCTTCTCTCACACTTCTTCCTTGACCCACGCTCAACCGGCCGGCAGATCGCCAAGATGATTCATAGCGTATCGAATCTGCCCCTCTCTTCCCAGCACCGTGTCTCGCAGGTCTCATTCCACCCTACACAACCATACCTTGCCGTTCAGTCTCACGACCGTTCCGTTGAAATATTTCGCATTCGAACCGAGGAGGAAGTGCGAGCGAAGCAAGCTCGTCGTCGTAAGCGCGCGAAGGAAAAGGGCAAAGACACACCCGATGAAAAACCTGAGAGAGAGGTTCAATTGGTGGATCTCTTCACTCCCCATGTCGTTGTCCGAGCAACGGGGAAAATCCGCTCGTTTGCATTCGGTCCAGTGGAAGCGGGTTCCAAGTCGAGCTTCCAGGTCAGTATCTCCGTTCTAGACCTGCGCCTGATCTCATTCGTGTCGGTTCGTAGCTCTTTGTCGCATTGAGCTCAAATGCGTTGGAAGTGTACAACGTCCCTCCTCCGGTCAAGTCGAAAGAAGAACCGCCGCAGGCGACTAGACAATTCTCTGTTGATCTTCCTGGCCATCGTACTGACGTCCGATCACTCTGCCTGAGCTCGGATGATCGGCTCCTGGCCTCGGCTTCGAATGGTTTGTACGGTTCTCAATTTCAACTACGCCCAGCACCTATCTTGTGACTAGGTTCGTTGAAGATCTGGAATATGAAAACGACATCGTGCATTCGGACCATGCAATGTGGATATGCGATCTGCAGTACGTTTTTACCTGGAGACCGCCAGGTATGTGTCTACCCATCTAACACCGAATTGCGGGATCCTCAGCTACCGCAGATCGCTGTCGGAACAAAGGCAGGGGAGATCATGATCTTTGATTTGGCCTCCTCGTCACTGGTTGAAACGGTTCAAGCTCATACTGGAACTGTCTGGTCGCTGCAGGTCAGGCCAGATGAGAAGGCCATGGTTAGTGGCAGTGCAGACAAAGATGTCAAATTCTGGGAGTTTGAGCAGCAGGGAAACACTGGCAACATTGTGGGTCATTTCAGTTGATGTCGCCGCCGCATAACGGTGCTGAATGGATCCCAGTCGTCTCTAGCCCACATCAGGACGTTGAAAATGACTGACGATGTGCTTTCTGTGCGATACAGCCCCAACGGGAAGTTGCTAGCTGTGGCGCTCCTGGACTCGACTGTGAAAGTGTTCTATCAAGACACGCTCAAGTTCTTCCTGTCTCTCTACGGTCACAAGGTACTTGGTGCTCACCCAAATATTACCCTTGCTTACCCATGCAACGTAGCTGCCTGTTCTGTCCATGGACATTTCATATGACTCTAAGCTGATCGTGACCTGCTCAGCCGACAAAAATGTGAAGATCTGGGGTCTTGATTTCGGAGATTGCCACAAATCCATATTCGCCCATGACGAGAGTGTGATGCAGGTGGCATTTGAGCACGAATCCCACTACTTCTGGACGGTAGGGAAAGACAAGCTGCTCAAATACTGGGACGGAGATAAGGTAGCAATCCTCTCCCTTCTCGTCCATTGCAGACTCAAACGTTTTCAGTTCGAAAACATCCAAAAACTAGACGGCCATCATAGCGAAGTTTGGGCTTTGACGCTGAGCAACCGCGGTGACTTCGTAGTCACCGGATCGCATGACAAATCGATCCGTGTCTGGGAGAAGTTAGACGAGCCTGTAGGTCATCTTTCCCCTGCATGCGGAGGTTTGCCAACACTGCTTTCAGTTGTTCCTCGAAGAGGAGAGGGAAAAAGAACTGGAGAAGATCTATGAAACTGGGATCGCGGACACACTGAACAAGGAATCGGGCGGACCGCTAGGACTCAACCAGGATTCAGAGAGACCGGCGACAGAGGCCACTACTGTTTCCAAGCAGACGACCGAAACCCTCATGGCCGGAGAGCGCATCATTGAAGCGTTGGATCTCGCCGACGGGGAGCGAGCCATTTTCCGAGAATACGAGGAGGCCGTTTCTCGGGGACAGAACGAATCTCTTCAGCTTGCACCGCCGCCCCGGAATGCTGTACTGGCCGCGTACGACCTGGAGCCCGAAGCCTGGGTTCTTCGTGTCGTTGAAAGAGTTCAGAGCACAGCGTTATTGGACGCTCTGCTCGTTTTGCCTTTTGGCAAAGTTGTTTCGCTAATGAACTACTTGAACATCTGGGCTCAACGAGTGAGGTCCTTTCTGCTCAGTGTGACCGTCGCTGACCCCAGGCCTAAGGACTGGAATATCACACTCGTCTCTCGCGTTCTCTTCTTCTTGCTGAAAACACATCACCATCAGATCGTCGCCAATCGTATCATGAGGACTGCACTGATGCCCTTGCGGAAGAATCTGCGCAGTGCTCTGCAGAGACAGAAGGATCTCATCGGATATAACCTTGCAGCTCTACAGTACATCCGCCGGCGCAATGACTCTCAGCGAGTCGCACAGTTCTACGAGGAAGAGGGCATGGACGAGGAAAAGGTCAAGGCTAAGATTGCCGAAGGGAAGAAGCGTAAGCGCGTCACTTTGCAGGCATAGGGTTGAAATGGATAGTTACAATGAATGCTACAGTGTGAGATAGAAGTACAGTAGTATGTGCAGACGAATCTAGGTTGTTGATGGAGTGTGTCGCTCAGCTTTTGGGTCCCCAGAGATCTTCGCTCCTGCCAGTGATGATGGTGAGAAATGCGTGCAGATCCTTCAAAGAAACCCACCAATCATCTGGGCCAGAGGCTTCCCGCCAAGAGACAGTAAGAATACCTGTGTCAAGATCGGCAAGTTCTGCAAATCCCCTTCGCGTAAGGTCAAGATGTTGAGAACCCGTGCGACAGCCTGCGCAAGTATCGACGACGCGAACAAAGATGCATTTTTGTGGTTTATTGCATACTGAACGCATGATGAATGAGCACTGCTTTCCTGTCGAATTGACATACTTTCGATGAACTTGAAACACTGAGGTTTGTCCGTCCAGCCCTCCATCGTCACAGCACAAACGAAAGACTGGTCCTGTCAGGGTCACGATGAGTTCTGTCAAGTTGTATGATCCTGGCGCATACCGTAGGAGCCCAGTCGGTCTTCGCCCAACAACTCGGATTGAGAAGATCGTGACCCGTGTACCTTCGGCATTGAGCAATTGGGGAGGAAGCTTGAGACGTCACATACCAAGTGATCGTCACTGAGGAAGGAGAACCGATGCCCTTGAGACCCTTCCATATACCACTCAGCACTTGCACCCCATCCGAGATTGTCTTGAGAGGGCCCACTGCCTTCGACTTGTCGTTCGCCTTGAGAGCGGGAGCCTTGTCGCGTCGGTACTTGTACTGGGCATCACTGGCGTTGAGCGTTCGCCATCCGTCGCGTGGGTCGAACTTGTAAGAGTCGCCCAGTGAGTGCGCTTTCGTATACTTGCTTCCGGCGGCGGCGCGTGCGGAGGAAGATTGCAGACCAGTATGGCTCACGCTTGCTGCATTGACAAATAGACCAGGGAAGATCGTCGCGAGAGACAGGGCGAGCGGGGCGAGGGTTCTGATTTGCATGATTGACGTGTTGCGATGGCCGGAGTGTGCAGGGAAATTCGCTAACCAGAGCAACCTTGAATGTCGAGGGCGGGATCAAGAACCACGTGTACAAACAGAGAACCACATTCATCGACCGGATAGCCGGCGGGCAAAAGGCCCATGAATGGACCGCCACCCGCCTGCAAGGGCTGACACCCCCCAACCTTACTAATATTCAATGTCGCTACTCTCGAAAGCTGACCGGCTATATGCATTACTGGGGGTGATGATGTCACACCCTCTGCACGTAAATAACCCTCTCGGCTCTCACTACTGTATGAGTCTTAGTCACCACCATGCCCATCGATCCCTCCCATCGCTCAATACGGAAGTCAATCGCGGAGGACGACACGGAAATCAGGCGCGCACGGGGAGAGGTATCTATCCGACCAGACTCATCCGGGTCCGAAGAGAAAACTAAGCCACCTTAGCTCTCTTGCGCGGAATGCTGGAGGTTGAAGTTGAAATGCGATAAAAAATTGCCATGCGGCTCGTGCAGTATGTCCTGGTTTCACTGTTAGTTCAGTAGAACTCACGCCGTAAGTTCGTCGAGGATGTCCTTCTATATGCCCGAACGGTAGTCTGTCGAGTCAGGTACTATTAAATCAAGAATTCGTCCGTCCGTCCATCAAACTCGAATGGCACGGTCCCAAACTCGAACACTGATCAACTCGTTAGGGCACGCGATTCGTCCTTGCATCGACGGAATACCTACATGACAAGATCAGAGAGATGGGACAGCGAATTCGGCAGCTCGAAGATGCCCTGGCTATATTTCAGTCTTCCACAGGCTCCCATGAGTTGCGCTTTTCATCTTGGTTATTGTTGCTGGTCTAAGTCTTGTGCAGCACACACCCGCTTCTACGCGACGAGTTGTTATCGATCAAGTTTGGACCTGAGAGGGGAGTACCGGATGACAGAAATCCAAAATCAGCAAAGGTTTCGATAGATTCGATCGACGCATTAGGCACGTTGACGATCGGCGACGACGGAGAAGGAAAGTATTTTGGTAGATCTGCGGGTTCTGAGGTCCGTCTCATCCATCTATCGAAGATCTTTGGAGACTGAGAGGCTGCGTAGACATTGTTGCTGGTAAGTACCGGTGCTCTCGTTGCTTCACAAGGGGGACATCCAAACAGGCGGGAGCCGAATTCGATATAGCATCGTCGCCGACCCAGGAAGACACGACGCCGCTCAACCCAGAAATCGCTCAACTATCGAATTCCTTCCCCTTCAGTGCGGGAGGGCCGCCTGGCCGGACCCTCGACCTCTTGTTCGAGTATCTTCCGGACCAACCACGAGCGTGGACACTGTGTGAAACATATCTCGAACAATGTTCTTGGAGCTTCCGCCCACTCGACCGGGAAGAGATAATCGAAGACTTTCTGACCCCGATATACAAATCGTCCCGAGAAAGGCGGATTTGGACAGAAGCGAGCGACTTTCCCCACGCGATCTCGCCGCATAGACTGGCAGTATTGTTCATGGTATTTGCTCTTGGAGCTCTAGTCGATCTGACTCTTGAGCCTGGTGCGTTGTCGTCGAGCTTCGAGTTATCTTCTGTTTATCTTCCGCAGACAGTGCTGAATCCGAACATTACTATCACGCAAGCCGAGCTGCTCTCGCTTTAAGATCCGTATTTGATTCGCCGGAGCTTGCGACCGTACAAGCAGTTCTTCTGTTTGCCTCTTATCACACTATCTGCGGGAAAAACTACACCTCTGATAGCTCAGTAAGATCCTTGAACATCCTGCACTTGTCGACTCTGAAGTCCGACCTTGGCACAGTGGACTCTGATTTCTTTAGGCTCTAAGGTCTGTCAGACCATTCATGTTCGCACGCGGGTTTCATGACCGCAGGTAGCTCGGTCAAAGCGTGCGTGCTGTTACCTGCGTTGCTTCTCTTTTGTCACTCCGGCATAATCATAGCTGGGCCTACGTCAGTCCTCTGTTGCATGCGTCAACTTTTTTCTCAATTTACGACAGATAGAGATAGTACACGATGGAACATGGATCCAAAAACTGTCAATAGACGGCGTTGTGAGTGACATCTTCTATTCGCGCGTGCTTTCCAACATGCAGCTGTAGCACTCTTTTGGGAAATGTTCAGTGCGGAATTATTTCAGGTGCTTGGGTATAGGATTGCTTCAAGCTGTTCTCATTAGTGTTGCAGAGTGTGGCACTAGGCAGGCCACCATCGATACGGTTGTCTTATGTCGACTGCGAGTTCCCTGCGTTCGAAGATCTAGGACTGGATGAGAACGGCGATCCGCGCATGTCTTGTATGGAATCCGGCAGCTTCGTTCCTCGTCGCTGACTCGGTTGACAGACTATGAATGGCGATATACATTCACTCGCGATGTGCTCTCGCTGATCACGGAGCGGACTCTCACCGCAGAGTCCCCAAGCTACGAGACGATCCTAGAATTGGACAAGTTGGTGCGCGCGAAGACACTGCCGCAACATCTCAACACTTTCCTCGCTCCTGAGGACGAGAACTGCACCCCATCGACGTACATGAGATCGTGAGCTTCTGACCCCGCTCGGAATCCTCTTCTGAAGACGACCCAGCTGCCTTCTGGGTCAATTTCGAGCTGTGGGTGAGTGGTTCATCTCACCAGCACGGTCACGTCACTACATTGGTCAGCATTACTCTACATCCATCGGACTTTCTTCGCACAAGCGATGTTGGACCACCCTGAAAATCCACTCCGTAGTCCCTATGCACCATCCTTTTGTGCAGCATATCGTTGTGCGTCTAGAATGATCAAAGGCTACCTCAATCTTTTCGAGAGGTACAGTGACGTCGTGACGTGACTGGATTTAGTTCGACTGGTTGACCTGGTAGGTTTCCCGAACTTACTTGTCGTTGGTCGATGATCTGGACGCATAGTCAGTGCGCTGATCAGTTCTCTAGTTTCTGCTGATCCCCATCTTCGGCAGTGTTCTCTGCTGCAGTAGGATAAATAACGGATGGCAGGACCGAGACACTGACTCACGGGCAGATGATTGTGGGTAGTATCGTCACCCGATCGCCGTCTGCCAGCATGGCTGCCGCTGCCTTCATTGAACTGGATTTAGTATGCGACTCATTCGACAAGGGTGCTAAACAGTCACGCCGAGCAAGAAGTGGGCTCGTACGTCTCACATATCTGTTATAGCATCCAGTCCACGCTATACATCATCTAGGCCATACTATGCAAACTCCGGGACAAAGCTTACCAGGTCTACTCCCAATTTTGCGGTGGTAATCCTGCACTACCTCCAATGACTAGCTTTGGTGTAGGAACCCAAGACTACGGAGAAGACGAATTGGCCTTGTTCGGAGGCCAGACCAGGATTCTGGTCAGCAAGCTGATCTCCAGGAAGAAGCAAGAATCGGCTTCGAGAGGAGTCGTGTCAACACCCAACCACTCAGGGATACGAACGACTCAAACACATGGCTCGAGTCTAACCAATCCTACTTTGGATGCGATGCCCGATGTGCATCCCTCTCTTGTGGATTATCTGTCACTCTTTGTGCCTGCTCCGCACACACCTGAGTATCTGATGGACAACACCAGCTCTTCGACAGTTGGCCTTGAGATGCAGCCACTCCCACGTGAAGCCACTCCTGCCTACTCCTACGCCAGTTACGGACAAGACTACACCAATATCATGACTGCGACTCTTCTAGATCCCATCCAGTATGATGTGCAACCTGTTGCGGAGCCCAGAGATATATCTGATATCGACTTCCTTATGTTCGGGGACGCTGGCATCGATGAGCAGTGGAAGTCGTTTATGAAAAAGTCTTTCTCTGGGTTGTTGGAAGAGGACCATAACAACATCACACCTGTCTAATGACATTGATTTTCACGTCCGGTATATCGATAAAAGATTCAAGAGCACACTTATCATGGCCTTGAGGCCATCACTGTCCAGAGTTTGGACCAATGTGTTCCTGCTTATCAGTCCGGCAGCATGGGTTCGCCCTGACCTGCGCCTCGGGGCTGGCTGCGAGCTATGCCGTCAGTTAACCTTCGTCGCCATTTTGATGTATGTAGCATCCATCTCACGAACGGCTATGCGATCATGCACTTCAAGCCCAAGAGAATCTCCATTAAGAACGGGTACCACGGGTGCCATGCACTCATCAAGGTGGGGCGGTGGTGGTGCATGTGTGTGTGTGTGTGTGTCGGCCCACCTGATCCTTCCACATCAGATCTACCTTCGCGCCGCTCCGGATGTCCAAGTCATCAAGATCGATGATGATTTCGAAGCCGGAGATCTCTGCTGGCTCGAGACGCCGCTCAATCCGACGGGAGAGTCTCGCAACATCGACGAATTGTACGAGTCGCCCAGCACGTGCGCTTTCGTATACTTGCTTCCGACGGCGGCGCGTGCAAAGGAAGATTGCAGACCAGTAGAGCTCACGCTTGCTGCGTCGACAAACAGACCAGGGAAGATCGTCGCGAAAGACGGAGCGAGCCAGGCGAGATTTCTGATGTGCATAATTGACGTGTTGCGATGGCCGGAGTGTGCAGGGAAATTCGCGAACCAGAGCAACCTTGAATGTCGAGGGGATTAAGAAACGCGTACAAACAGAGAATCACATTCACCGGCTGCACATCCGGCGGCCAAACGGTCCACGAGTGGACTGCCACCGCCTGCCAGTCTCTGCCAGTGCTGACACTCCTAAACCTTACTAATATTCAATGTCTCGGAAGCTGACCGGCTATATACTTGATGATGTCACACCCCCGCTGTACACTTAAATAACCCTCTCTGCTCTCACTACCGTAGGCTTCAGGGAGCTGCAGTTACCGTCATGCCCGTCGATCCCCCTCGTCGCTCAATACGAAAGTCGACTGCAGAGGACGACACGGATATCAGGCGCGCACGGGGAGAGGTATCTGCCGACTAGACTCATCCGGGTCCGGAGAGAAAACTGAGTCACCTTAGCTCTCTTGCGCGGAGTGCCGGAGGTTGAAGTTGAAATGCGATAAAAAACTGCCGTGCAGCTCGTGTAGTACGTCCTAGTATTATTCCCAGTCCAGTGGATCTCACACCGTCAGTTCGGCGAGGATGTCCTTCCATCTGTCCCAATGGTAGCCTCTCCAGTCAGGTAAATCAAGACTGGATCGTCTGTTCGACTTATGACGGCGTGGTCTCGAACCCGAACACTGATCATCCCGGTTCAGGGTACGCGATTCGTCCTCGCATCGACGGAACACTTGTATGGCAAGATCGGAGAGATGGGACAGCGAATCCGGCAACTCGAGGATGCTCTAGCCATCTTCCAGTCTTCCACAGGCTCCCACGAGTTGCGCTTCTTCTCATCTTTCTCACTACTCCGATTCAAGTCGTGTGCAGCACACATCCTCTCCTTCGCGACGAGTTATTATCTATCAAATTTGGACCTGAGAAGGGAGTATCCGGCGACAGAAAACCGAAATCAAGAGAGGCTTCGATGGATTCGATTGACGCGCTAGGTACGTTGACGATTGGCGATGACGGAGAAGGAAAGTATTTTGGTAGATCTGCGGGTTCTGAGGTTCGTCCCAATCATCCATCAACGATCTTTGGAGACTGACCAGTCGCGTAGACTTTGCTGCTGGTAAGTAACGGTGCTTCTCTCGTTGCTTCAGAAGAGGGACATCCAAACAGGCGGGAGCCGAGTTGGATATAGCGTCGTCGCCGACCCAGGAAGACACGACGCCGCTCAACCCAGAAATCGCTCAATTATCGAATTCCTTCCCCTTCAGTGCTGGAGGGCCGCCTGGCCGGACCCTCGACCTCTTGTTCGAGTATCTTCCGGACCAACCACGAGCGTGGACACTATGTGAAACATATCTCGAACAATGTTCTTGGAGCTTCCGCCCACTCAATCGGGAAGAGATCATTGACGATTTTCTGACCCCGATATACAAGTCCCTCCGAGAAAGGCAGAGCTGGACGGACGGGAGCGACTTTCCTCACACGATCTCCCCGCATAGACTTGCAGTGTTACTCATGCTATTCGCCCTTGGAGCTCTAGTCGATCTGACTCTCGAGCCTGGTGCGCTCTTGTCGATCGCTGAATATTATTTTTTTATCTTCCACAGATAGTGTTGAGTCCGACCATTACTATCACGCAAGCCGAGCCGCTCTCGCTTTGAGATCCGTGTTTGATTCACCAGAGCTCGCAACCGTACAAGCAGTCGTTCTGCTTGCCTCTTATCACAACATCGGGGGCAAAAACTACACCGCTGACAGTTCAGTAAGATCCTTCAGCATGCTGCACTCGTCCACTTTGAATTTAGATCTTGGTACAGTGGACTCTGATTTGTTTAGGCTCTAAGGTCTGTCAGATTGTCCATGCTCGCACGCGGCTTTCTTAACAGTGTCCAGCTCGGGCAAAGCGTACGTACTGCTACCTGTGCTGCTACTTTGTTTTTACTTGAGCACAACCATAGCTCGGCCTACGTTAGTGCTCCGTTGCATATGTGTCAAATTTTGGCTAATATCTGGCAGACAGAGATAGTGCCCGATGGAACATGGATCCGAAGACTGTCAATAGACGGCGCTGTGAGTGGCATCTTCCATTCGCACAGTCTTGCCAACATGTAGCGAAAGCACTCTTTTGGGAAATGTTCAGTCTAGAATTGTTCCAAGTGCGTTTTCACCTCATTGTCGTATTGTTCTCATTAGTGTTGCAGAGTGTGGCACTAGGCAGGCCGCCATCCATACGGTTGTCTTACGTCGACTGCGAGTTCCCTGCGTTCGAAGATCTAGGACTGGATGAGAACGGCGATCCGCGCATGTCTTGTATGGAATCCGGCAGCTTCGTTCCTCGTCGCTGACTCGGTTGACAGACTATGAATGGCGATATACATTCACTCGCGATGTGCTCTCGCTGATCACGGAGCGGACTCTCACCGCAGAGTCCCCAAGCTACGAGACGATCCTAGAATTGGACAAGTTGGTGCGCGCGAAGACACTGCCGCAACATCTCAACACTTTCCTCGCTCCTGAGGACGAGAACTGCACCCCATCGACGTACATGAGATCGTGAGCTTCTGACCCCGCTCGGAATCCTCTTCTGAAGACGACCCAGCTGCCTTCTGGGTCAATTTCGAGCTGTGGGTGAGTGGTTCATCTCACCAGCACGGTCACGTCACTACATTGGTCAGCATTACTCTACATCCATCGGACTTTCTTCGCACAAGCGATGTTGGACCACCCTGAAAATCCACTCCGTAGTCCCTATGCACCATCCTTTCTCGCCGCATATCGTTGTGCGTCTGGAATGATCAAAGGCACTCTCAATCATTTCGAAAGGTATATCGACGACATGATTGGACACGGCTCGACTGAATGTTCTGGCAGATTTCCTGAACTTTGCTGCCGCTGGTCAACGATATGGACTCACGGTAAGCACGCTTCCTAGTTCTTCAGTTTCTGCTGACCGTCACCATTCGCAGTGTTTTCGGCTGCAGTACGGTGCCTAGCATATGGGCAAACATAGGCACTGATTCATGGACAGATAATTGTGGGTAGCATCGTCACCCGATCACCTTCTGCCAGCATGGCTGCCACTGCCTTCATCGAACTGGGCTTGGTATGCGACTTATTCGACAAGGGCGCTAAAAAATCGCGCCGAGCGAGAAGCGGCCTCGTAAGTTTCACGTGCATGTCAAATGTTCTGTCCCTACTATCCATCCTCCAGGCCATTCTGTGCAAACTTCGAGAAAAAGCTTACCAGGTCTACTCTCAATTCCGCGGTGGCAATCCTGCCCCCCTTCCGACGACTGGCTTCGGTGTGGGAACTCAGGACTACGGAGAGGATGAACTGGCTCTGTTCGGAGGTCAGACCAGGATCCTGGTCAGCAAATTGATTTCTAGGAAGAAGCAAGAAAACACTTCAAGGGAGGCCGTGTCACCATCCAGCCACTCCGGGATGCAGATGACCCCAACACCCAGCTCGAGCCTATCCAGTCCTGCGTCCGATGCCATGCCCGATGTGCATCCTTCTCTCGTGGACTATCTGTCGCTCTTCGCGCCCACTCCGCAAACCCCTGAGTATCCGATGGGGATCAACAGCGCGTCGATAGTGGATCATGAGATGCAACTATTTCCACAGGAAGCCACCCCTGGCTTCTCATATCCCGATTACGGACAGGGTTACACTGATATCATGACTGGGACTCTTCCAGATCGCATGCAGTACGATGTGCAACCTGTACCGGATCCGAGAGATCTATCCGACATGGGCTTCTTCATGTCTGGGGACGCCGGCATTGACGAACAGTGGAAGTCGTTCATGAAAAAGTCTTTTTCTGGGTTGTTGGAAGAGGATAATAACAACATAACACCTGTCTATTGACATTCAGCTCTACATACTGTACAGGATATATAATTGAAGAATTTACTGTAATCATGGCCTCGAGGCTCGGACCGATGTGTTGTAAGCGATGGGCTGATGGCGACATAGTACACGATACTGAGGTAGTGACTCGATTCTCAAATTTGACTGTTCACCGTGATGACCCTCAAGCCCCAAGGCAGTGGAACGAAACTTCTGCATACGGACGACAAGTTCCGTCTAGACGACAATGTCGCACCTTCCATCGCCGTCACAACCAGTACGCACCCCCCTGCACATCGTGAAACGTGCCAAACATCTGTTGCAGCCTTCCTCTCCCCACGACCGGATGATAGTCGGCCTGTTGGGACTGACTACAGGGTACCTCGAAATTCTACATCATGCAGTCCGCTCCAGAGTTCAATGCGCATCCTAGAACCCATCACGCCATGTCTACTCCCGATATACGGCCCAGAGCTCCACCCGCACAGAGCACATCATCAGCGAAATCACGGTAAATGCGTCCCAGCTCGGTGATTGCGCAGCCTGGACCGTCCTGCTCACTAGTCCGGCAGAATGGGTTCGCCCTAACCTACGCCTCGGGGCTGGCTGCAAGCTATGCCGTCAGTTAACCTTCATCGTCGTTGTGATGTATGTAGCATCCATCTCACAAACGAACGGCTAGGCTATCGTCCACTTCAAACCTAAGAGAATCGCCATTACGGACGGGTACCACGGGTGCCATGCACTCATCGAGGTGGGGCGGTGGTAGTGCATGTGTGTGTGTGTCGGCCCGCCTGATCCTTCCACATCAGATCTACCTTCGCGCCGCTCCGGGTGTCAAAGTCATCAAGATCGACGATGATTTCGAAGCCGGAGATCTCTGCTGGCTCGAGACGCCGCTCAACCCGACGGGAGAGTCTCGCAACATCCAGTTTTACGCTGATAAGGTCAGGTCCCTCATTCACTGTGTGAGTGGCGCGCGAGGCTGAATGAGAGGTCGGTGTCAGGTTCACAAGGCTGGAGGAAAGCTCTTGGTCGACTCGACGTTTGGCCCTCCTCCTCTCCAAGATCCCTTCAAGTTCGGCACAGACTGGTATGACCGTCATGCATTCATGACCGTACGTGACAGGGCTAACACGCCTGTAGTATTTTGCACTCGGGAACAAAGTATTTTGGGGGCCATTCTGACTTGCTTGGTGGGATCCTAGTCGTGAAGAACAAGGAGGAATGGGATCAACTCCAGCACGATCGAACGTATCTAGGTGCGCAGTCGGTCTCAGTGTGGTCCATTGACTATCACCAACCGGGCCCTTTCCGCAGGAAGTTCCATGGGCAAGTTGACATGCTTTCCATCGTGCTTAGTGAGTTAACTCGAGTCCAGGATCTTTGGAAAGCTGGCTCCTTTTGCGCTCTCTGCGAACTTTCCATCTCCGCGTTCCAAGACAATCGGAGACTGCGACAGGCTTGGTGCAGTGGCTGCACCAACTGGCACAGACTCCGGCGGGGAAAACGTTCGATGGAGTTCCGGGTGGTGTACTGACTGGTATCTGGCACTCTTCTCTGCAAGGTAAAGACGCGAGCGGCTTCGATCCAAAGACTCAGATGACCGGTGGCTGGAACGCTACGTTCTCTATCGAGGTGAGCGACGTCGCATATGCACTCAGGATTCGACGCGGAGTTGACTTCGAATTTAGCTTTCTGAGCCGGAATATGCCGCTTGGTTCCCTCATTCACTGGAGTTCTTCACAGTTCGTCGAGCTCGCTTTCCTTCATGATTATGCTCACGGAGAACCTTAGCCTGCCACGAGTCTCGGTGGTGTCGAATCCCTCGCGGAATACAGAGCGTCATGGGACCCCAGCTCCAATCCGCGGGCCGTGAGACTGAGCATCGGTGTCGAAGACCTCGAGGACCTGAAAGCCGACATCCGGCAGGCCTTGATCAAACTGGTACAGGTCAGTGTGTAGCACGTCTTTTACGTCGTGTTTTCTGATTTTCCCTCGCAGAACAAAGGCAAAGTTCAGGCCAAGTTGTAGTGGAGATCACAAAGTACCATAATTGGTCGAAATAGTCCCATTAGGAAATCTTATTTCCCAAAAGAGCGAGCGGACTCAAGAACTGAGTCTGAAACGGTTGATGGCGCTCTTATTTAATGAGACTGAGAGCACCGTCTGTCCTTTAATCAGGTCCACATTGAATCATTCCCTCTCCCCACTCTCCAATCCTCTACTTCCTATGCGTCTTTATCTCAAGAGTACGTTCCCAGAAGTTCTACCAGCGTCCTGTGCTTGACCTCAGGGCCAGACCTCCCCTTGCACACCAATCAAGACGACGTCTTTCATTATCTTGAACGATTCGGGAGATTGACCGAGTTGAGGATCCACACGGGCACGTCGTCCGATTACGGGTTCGCGCAGTTCGCATCAGATGAGGATGCCAACTACGTTCTGGAGACTTTTCGCGGAAGACTGTTCTTGGGCCATCGCGCGTCTCTTTCTCACTGTAATCTTCTAATTAGCTCATGGCTCGCGATAGGTACCGTCATTGAGATCGCAAGGCCGATGCGGAAGGATCGCGACGCGGCTATGAGTGAAGCGAGGCTTCGCGACGCGCCAGACAGGTTGACACATGGGTTGATGCCACACACGAGCCGGTCCAAGCCGTATCCAAGCAGAGGACCAAGCAGATTCCCTGTCGTAGTGGAGAACATTCCACGCCATATCCACTGGCAGGTGCGTGAGACTAATCAATCACCGTGATCACTGGCAGACCAGGATACATGCGCAGGAACTGAAAGACTTTGGGCGAAGTGCGGGCGGCATCGTAGCATTTTGCGATCTCATCCAGCTCACGGAATCCAATACGCGTCCAGGAGGCAACAGACGGGGCTTTATTGAATACTTGCTGCGGGAGGATGCCGAGGAAGCGATCCGCACTCTGAATGGGCGAGACCTTGGAGGGTCCCCGGTGGTCGTATGCGCGCCCTTGTCGCAGTCTAATGGCGCCACGCAACATACTCAAATTATGAGCAGTGAACATTCGCGGCGCTCGCGCTCGCGGTCTCCTCCACGCTGGCGCGCACACGCACATGCCCACCCCCCTTCGACTCTTTTCTTGCGGTCTCCCGGAGAAGGTCGGACGCGTGGATTCCCTACTTCCGCATCCCGGTACTCACTCGTCGGGGGACACTCTCATGTCTCGGATCAGGGTCTCTTCGAGCGCGCGGAGACCCCATACACACCACTGAAGAGTCTCGGGGACGCATTGTATTCCCACACGCCTCGGGGACATCACCAGGGCGGGGAAAATGGGACGGGCAGTCACGATCAGGTCCTGCAACCCAATTACAAAGCATACATCCGTGAATTTTACGACCGAAACCTGCAGCAGCCGGGGTGTCATTCCTCGAATTCATACTGACATTCGCTTATCGATAAATTGCTCAATCACTGCATATCACTCTGGAAACTCATGCATACCTTCGCTGCTTAGTTATAGTTAGTTACACATCGCAGATAATCACAGACGACATACAATGAACATCACTGCCTCCTCTCTTTCGCGCGGAACAGGTCGAGGAATCGAACCTTGTCCTCCCAGCCCAGGCCCGTTCGTTTCATCTTGCCCATCTGGGCGATGAGGACGGCACATGCTTCGGAGAGCTGATCTCCCTCGCTGTAGTTGCCCAGAACTTCGCTGGCAAGGAACAGCTGCGAGCCAGGAGATTCTGATGGAGCGAGGAGTCGAACAGAAACGCTTTGCGGTGCGAGAGAAGCTGCGGTAGAAAAGAGGTGTCCAAGTGGATTGCCGGCACCGGGAATGGTGTGAGCGAGTGTCGCCGCGTGCTGGGTGGGAGGATCGTATCTGATGAGCCCTTCAGCTTGAGACAAGGGAGAAAAAGCGGTAGAAGAAGCACCTGACACACATGACGAAAACGCTGTACCCTTTCACCGGGATCTCTTTCCGAAAAACCTGTGCGAATCGGAGGAGACCACGGCCGTTGCTAGTGGTGCATTCGGGGAACACAACGACAGGGCGGGCAGATCGACCCCGAATCTCATCTAGACTCTCGTACGGTCCGGTCGAAGATGGAGCGTGACCGGTCGCGGAAATCATCGACAGCAATGAGACTTGGCGGAAGCCCAGGATAGAAATGCGTTGAGTGGCAGCACGCTGTGGCGCTGATATGTTGGCTGAGCCAGTGCCTGTCCGACGGCCAGGCGTGTGGGTTACGGGATCTGAGCCCCGTACAGTCCCAGTGGATAATGGGTCCGTCTGCGAGACCGGCAAGACAAATATGGGATCGAACCTTTCCATGTCAGAATTGTGTGCCCCGGACCGGAACCCGACTTACCGGAAGGCAAGCCATAGGACTTCGACCCAGGAAACCCAGTTTGATACAATAAGATCTCCTCCACGTGGGCTCCAGCTCTCGACATCTTTTGCGGAACGGCTGCTGAACGTTGGCTTAAGAAGCAAACAGGATTGCGATGCACAGCGTACCCGCGTTTGCGAGTGACGTTGTCGACTGTGATCCAGAAGAGGCCGAGAATGAACAACGCCAGCCGGGCAGTGAACGCAGTCAAGGTGTGATTGAGGATTCGGTGGAGTGGAGGAATAGCAGACTGGAATGACCAATAAGCTCTCACATAGAAATCTCTTCGGAACTCTCACAAAGATGATGAGAATAACGCTCCCTGCGAGGCGCACCAACAGGATTGCCAGCAGCAAGACGAGACGGACAGCCCCGACGCAGTATCCAATCGGGGTGAGAATTTTGGTGAGGATATTCGAAGCTGGGGGGACCAGTGGTAAAAACGGCTGAAGCTCGTGAGACTGGGTATCAAGATATTTTTCCATGTTCACCTGAACGCCAGTACCAGCGTCCCGAAACCCGCTATATTTTTCCATCGGAGAAAGTGCCCCAAGATTTTGTTGTTTAGTAGCTTTGCAGTCGAGGAGTCGGTATCATCACAGTGTAAATGTTGGCCTACTCACAAACAGGTCTCGATTGCCTGCGCGCTGGTGGGCAGCTGACCGCGTACTGGTGCTTACGTCACGACCGCTTCCATCCTTCCGCGTGTAAGTGATGACGCAGTCGGCTATATCTTGGCGAGATGTTGCGCGGCTCCTCTCAGCTCGGCCATGTCCTCCAACACCACTATTCTCGATCTTGTCAAGTCTCTACCGAGAAGGGTTATCAATAGATACCGCCGTCTTCCTTTGTACGGCAAAGCGATTGTCTGGCTATGGATTCTGTTCGAAATCCTCCTCGGTGTGTAACGCGCTGCGCTCGACTTCATGTTTAGCCTGACTCGATACAACTCAGTCATTGCACTGATCATCATTACTCCTAAGCGTGTTGGACAATTGTGTGTCTCTCCTTCCTGATTGCGCGTGTCATGACTGAAGTCTCTCAGTTTGTACGACAACGCAGAGAAGCTTGCCCGACTTCGCTTTGGGTGGCTAATAGTAGCGACTGTCGTCGTGCTCACTTCATTCCCTCCTTTTCATGGTCACAGTGCGTTCTTCCAACTACCATTGGACATAACGTTTGAACTATCTTAGCAACGGTGACGACATTATGCGGGTTCGCCTGGGGATTGAAGGGGTTCTATATTGCTGCACCAGCTAGCCTCATCGGCAGCACTCTCGTGTTTGTGACTCTCCGTGCAAGCTTCAAAGAGAGGCTGCGTTCGTTTTCCAAATCGAATGAGAAGTGGTCGGCGCTGGAAGCTGTCATTGTGAGTCCCTGCCTTGTGCTGATAGACGTGTTAAACACGGATTCCAGGCCGCCAAAGGTCTACCTCTGATCATCCTGATTCGGATGTCCCCTCTTCCGCCGTGCGTTACCCAATCTCGTCGCGTCTTCGCCGCATCTTACCTGCTGTTAGCTATGTATACTCCAATGTGATGTTTTCAGTGAGTCCTTGAGCTCTGTGTGGATGCAGTGGTCTGATCTATGCAGTCGATCTCCTCTGTTGCTCTGTGGCAATTCGTCGTGGCTACATGTTTTGTGTTCCCTAAGATCTTTCTGCAAGTCTTTATCGGCTCTCGCATTGCTGCACTGTCCGATGGAGAGCAGCGGGACAAGATGGACCCACGTGCGTACATATTGAAAATCATGTACTCTGCTTCGATGACGTGTTTTTAGACACCAAGATGCTCAACGGTGCCCTTATCGGAGGTGGAATATTCATCGCTATCTCTGCTAGTTGGCTGGTATATCGCCTCGTCACCAATCATATCAGAACACTGCCGGGAGTCCCACCAGAAGTAGACGAACAGGCTGCAGAGGCTATCGAGGGGAGCGAAACTGCTCCTCTGCTAGGAGCCGACTCAGTTTAGATTGTCTACTTATATCAGTGCTATAATTTCGTGTAAACCATGCCGAATAATCATTCAATAGTAATGCAGGAAAAGCAGGGCCATGCTAGCACCAACTAGAAAAACCAAGATGAACAACCGACTGTCCTTCCCTCGTCTTCTGGCTTCCTGTAACTGGACATTTCCCTTCTCTACAGTGGACGTAGTCGCAATCGCGTCCTCGAAAAGCTGATCCGTCAATTGTGTCTGTTTGGTGAGATGCGTGACGAGCTCCATCTGAAGAGCGCTGATGTCCATGAGGCGAGCCTCCGCTTGTTGCACTGATTCAAGCGTATCTTGAACGTTTCGAAGAATATTGGCGTTCTCCGTCTCAAATTGCAATATCTGAGATTGAGAGAGTTCGATGTCTTCGTCGTCGTCGTCATCTGAGGGTATCGCCAATTCGGGCACGGGGACGGAAGCGCGCTGGGGAGAAGGACTGCCCATCGTGGCAGAAAGAAAACTGGACGATGCCCCACCAAGCCATGAGCTTGAAGGCGCGGCTCCTGGCGGTTCCGGCGGCGAAAGAGGCTCGGAGCCCAGAGATCGCATCTCCCGGGCAGCACTCGATCCCAATGTCCTCGACCGCTCCAACTGTCTTTTAACACGCTCCTCTTGCATCTCTTTCTGGCTCTGGCTCGCCTCGGCCAGGCGACGATTAAGGAACCACGTGATGCTGGCGTGGTGCGCGGCGACGAAGTCAGACGCAACATTAGTAGAGTCTTGCCGCAAACGCAAAGGTAGTAGTCGTGCCAGTGGATTAGTTTTACTCGCAACAAGTTCGACGCGACCTAGAATGGGGGAAATCGTTCTTCATCATCCACCGCGATCGGAGGTGGTTGGCGCGTACGTTTCTCTAACGCTTCCATCTCCTTCACCCGGTCAGCGCAACGTGTCAGGATGACACGCGTTTGGAGGTCAATTTGGTCTCGTTCTTGGTTTGAAAGTGATCGTATAGATGCCCATGATGATTCCCCCGACTCCAGGTCCAGTGTCTTCGGTGTTTGGTGGGTTGCAGGTCGCGAGTCGACATTGAGATATGGCCGACGTATACTGGCAAGCATCCGCGTTAGAGTCGTGATGTGGTCGAGCTAGTAGGCTTTTGAGGACCATGAAAGAGATGGGACAACAAACGCACGACGACATACGCCTCAGCGACGTATTCCTTCCCAGAGATGACCTCCGTGTCGTGTTCAGCCCCCGGACGTGTAGTTTTCCGTCGTTTCGTCTGAGGTAGTTGATTTTCCTTATCTCTTGCAACCTGTCTGAAGTCTGCAGTGCGGTCTGAACACGGCATGGCAAAGATAGAGACTGCGGTTAGCTGGCTTAGCGCAAGGGCCGTGAAAGCTGGAGGAGCACGTGAGGTCCTTTGAAAGTTCGCATCAGTCTTCGATCAAATTCGTATCTTCCTTCTGACTTCTTCCACATTGGCCTTCGTTATTTCAGTAACAAATGCCGTCCGTAGATGAGGGATAGACGCATCAGATCCTTGTTTGAGGCGACTGGCGTCTTTGAATACCGCTGCTTGCCATAAAAAGAGATCCACATTTCGTTGTTCAGAACCATGTACATCTAGCGTTCTCTCTACATAGCAATCTACCTTAACAATTTGTGCTGCACTTTGCTCCCGATTGTGAGTACTCTCGATGGTGAAAAACCTGAGGAAGAACATCTTTGGGTCATTTCCCTTCCTAACGTTTTTCATCAACATACTTCCAACCTGAGCCAAACGCGCCTTGCCACAAACCACCATCTTTACAAGGTAAGAAGTCCCCTGCGCGCTTCTCGACCGCCACGATGATTCAGAGTGGTAACCGCACTCGCCCGCGCGCTACCCGCGACGTTCTGGGCGAGGTTGAAGACCAAGAAATGTTCTAGATACTGCTGAGCTTCCCTTCCCTTTTCTTTTCCTTGTGCTGCAAGTCCACCACACATACTAACACGCTTTGCAGAGACGTCTACGTGTTTCCTTTAGACCGCCAAATTAGAGATGGATCCCCGGCGTGCTCGCGATCCACGTTTAGCTCGTGCTGACCCACGCTTCCAAAGACCTACTCCAACACCTACACCCCCGTACCCCAACTATGAGAATGGCCACGCTTCACAGTCATATCAGCAACCGCCTCCCGTGGCCGTAAATCCTGTTCCTGTCCTTCCGGTGCCTACCTACAAACAACGACCACTATTCTGTGTCGTTTGCGCCAGTAATCAAGTACGATTCAACCGTCACCCTCATGCTCTAAGCTCACACCTGACTGTAGAATCGGTCGATGGAGGGTCACTTGGTGCTGTCGTGCGTGAACCTATCTGCTTGTTGCCGTACTTTCGCTCATCTATATGAAGCAAAGCAGGTTTTCGAGTCGTCTCGTCGGGCACTGGTTCTGCCGTACGGCTTCCGGGCACAGCAATCGACAAACCCAACATCTACAGCTTTGGCACGCCATACAATACCATGTATGAGGAACTCAGTGCCCAGGACGCCAGGCTGTATACTGCAAATGGTGTGCTACAGATGATCGACCGAAATCGTCACCTCAAGCTGGCCCCCGAGAAGTGGCATGAGATGCGGGCGGTAGCTGACATAGTCATTACGTGCGAGGAGCGATGTTTTGACGCTGTGTGTGACGGTGAGTCTTCCATTGCACACGGCCTTCATGCATTGAGTTCTCCCGTCGTTACAGATCTTATGGCCCGTGGTGGTGAACTCAACCGTCCTGTCCACGTCATCAATGTAGAGATCAAGGATAACCACGAAGAGGCTTCCATTGGTGGACAAGCCATCCTCGCGCTCGCAACTGCAGTTCGTTTTATTTTCTTCGTGATCAGGAATGGGTAGTTGACACCGGAGTAGATCGAGCAGGCTCAAGACATTGACCAGGAGATGGATACCATCTTGGAAAAACACCAAGAGACACATCCCCACAATATCTTACATGTCGTTGCATATTACTAGTCTTCTTTGTATGTATTGTATTACCACCGTGTATTCCTTGTGTAGCTCTTTTATCTGATCTCATGTTGGAGAATTAACAAACGCGACAGACTGATTGCGCTGTCACATTGATACTTCCACGTGACGCTTACGCGGTCCGACGCGTCTTCCTCATATTCACATACCATGGCCAGTGCCGACGGAGGTGCATACAGGTCTACCCGGTTCTTTGAACATTTCTGTGCATGCACTCAGTTCCTACAGCTATTCTCTCACAGTCTTCTCCCCGAGCGGCAAGCTCGTGCAGATCGAGCATGCGCTCGCAGCAGTTTCTGCGGGAACAACCAGTCTTGGGATCAAGGGTAGCTCTCCAAGACGTTATCTGTACATGCCACTAACATCTCCCTGAAGCGTCGAACGGCATCGTGATCGCCACGGAGAAAAAGTCCTCCTCAATCCTCATTGACGACTCGATGATCGACAAAGTCGCAGTGATCTGCCCCAACATCGGCATCGTCTACTCGGGAATGGGCCCTGATTTCCGTGTTCTCATCGCAAAGGCGCGCAAGAGCGCTCAGGCGTACTGGAAGATGTACGGCGAATATCCGCCAACACGAGTGTTGACGCAGGAGATTGCGACTGTCATGCAACAGGCCACACAGTCCGGGTCTGTCTTCACCGTTGTCGCTGCACGCGATATCGTAACTGAATGGCCTACTACAGTGGTGTGCGGCCGTATGGTGTCTCGCTGCTCGTTGCTGGCTGGGATTCGACTCGGGGACCAACGTTATACCAGGTCGACCCTCGGGGTCTTTCTGGGCGTGGAAAGCCAGTGCGATTGGGAAGAACATGGTGAACGCGAAGACTTTCTTGGAGAAACGGTGTGTGCTATCGCTTCCTCAATACTGTCGCTGACGCAGGCGAATGGTAGGTATAACGAGGATATCAGTTTGGAGGACGCGATCCACACCGCTCTATTGACACTGAAGGAAGGGTTTGAGGGGCAGATGACGGAGAAGACGATAGAGATTGGCGTTGTTACCGTCCCTACGTTGGCTGAGCAGGAAGCCTCGCAGGTTGGGATCGAGACGGGGCGACCAAAGCCTACGTTCCGTAAATTGACGGAAGAGGAAGTACGGGACTATTTGGCATTGTAGATGACGCAATTTCCTGTTTGCTATCTGTACGCTCAGGCTGTGCTCGACAGTCCGATGTTCTTATCTCTCTTTGTGCTCTGATCCTTCTAAGCTACATGGAACGCACAGCTTTGATAGTTCTGGCAGGCGGACCAGCGCCCGTTCCTCCATCGAGAAAATCGACGCTTCTGACTAGAATGGCTGTGTCGGAAGAACATCAAATCTTTGTCCGCGGGTACCACAAGCCCACGTTGTCCCCAACGTCGTGTCACTACATTGCACAGATCTACGTTTCAAGCTCGCCTCGTGACAGTAGAGCTGTGACGCCTCATCTAAATTCACTGTCAGGCCGGCATCAGAATGACGGGGAAGAAGAAAGTGGTAACATCTCCGATTTCGACACGCCGTGCCACTTCAATTGTCTCGTTCTGGCGAATCTGACCGAAGCCAAACTGGTCCTGAAACACCACGATCATGGACGAGACTGGCGGTCAAGAGCTGTAGCGTGCAATCAATGCAATGCATTTCGTTCGATCCGCCCTTTCTATTCGACCCACTTGTGTGCAGCTCATCTTGATCACTGCTCCCTCTTGGGAATCTTTTGACGCGTGTTCCGAATTCCGCACGGAGGGAAAGCTGTTCCAGATGAGGCACCCGAGTGCTCAAAAGCGTGGGCACAGCAGTCGCCATATAAAAACAGTCATCACTCCGCACTCCCCAGTTTACTTTACTCTACTCCAGTCAGCACTTGTCATGGACTCCTTCACCTCTGCCCAACTCAACGACCGCAGACGCCGCACTCCTCTTGCCTGCACAAACTGCCGCCAACGCAAAGTCAAGGTGCGCTCCGAGTCCTGGCCGTTGGAGCCCCCCTCTGGCATAGTCATCTCATCTCATCTGTGCAGTGCAAAGCCGGAGGAGGAGAAAATTTGTCGCGCGTCTCGTGCGACCGTTGCCTTTCCAAGGGCCTCGTCTGCGAGTTTCACGCGGTCTCGGAAGGCGGCAGTGACTCCTCGACCACGACGCCTGAGACTCTGACTGCGCCGCTACCCCCGGTCACGGGCTGCACTCCAATGCAAGGATGCCACATTACGCTGCGACCCACCAGCACCAGTACGCCGGCCAGTACGCCGAGTTTACGACATACCCCGACGCGACATGGCAGTCGCAGCCACAAGCCCAGTACCAGAACCCGAGCGGCGGGCTGCCGCCCGCGGCCTTCAGCCTCCCACAGGCGGGATACTACCCACCGAGCCAATGGGTGCAGCAACAACAGCCTCGGCGGTGAGTCTCTGGCTGTCTCCTGGTCCGAACGGGATTTCTGACGCGCTCTCAGCTGTGGCTGCCCGCATCCTTGTTACCACCAACAGCAGTGACCTATTCTTGTTATTCTTATGTATTGCTACTAGTCGTTGCTAATGCCCCTGCTTTTGCTGTATCTAATGTCGTGCTTTTTGTTTATTTTTCCGTGTCACTCTTGTCTGTATTTATATCAGATATAAAATGAAGATCGACAATTCAGAACACGGAGATATCGCACAAGTTGTGCGCCGACGGTCATGTTTCAAGAAAATATCTGATTGTATCCAACAGCATGTATTTACAACAGCTTTGCTTAGAAAGGCCAGTCCAACTTCTCTCCGAAATTCCAGTGCACCGCCTTGACAGAGGTATCTGCGTGATAACGTCAATGTTTACACCCGCGCCCAGGCCGAGATTTCTTACACTCTTCGAGTGCATAGCTTCCCAACTCGCGGCCTGGAAAGATCAGCAGGATGTGATCGTGCGACGCGCGACATACCAATGCCCTGGCAGATCGTCAGATAGGCAATACGAGATTGAAGAATTGACTCACCGATTGCTTCTTGCCGCCCTGCAGATCTGTCAGCTCGGAACAGCCGAAAAAAACCGATCCACTCACGAAAGGTACGTTGTTGCTCAGAAGATTGTATTGGTTGACCTGCAGACACTCAGATCACAGCCCGTATCGAGCCTTCCTCACGTACCCAAACCTGTCGGAAAACGTGAGTCTAGCCATCAAAGAAGCACGCATGATGTTTTTCTCACCGTTCCGGCCTCGAGGGCAGACGCAACGCGCATGCACTGATTGGCATCGTCTGAAGAGCGTCAAGTCATGGGCTTCCCCGTCAAAAAAAAACTGACTGGAGTGCAAACCAGCCCCCAGGCCATAGGAAGTGTCGTTGGCAAGTTTGATGGCCTCCTCCTCCGTCTCGAACCGACCGATAGAGAGAACCGGGCCGAAGATTTCCTCCTTCACAATCTTCATGTTCGGCTGGACGTCGGTGAAAACTGCAGGCCGTGAGTCAGCTTCAAACGCGAAAGTCAGCCGGACTTGATTACTCGTAGGATCAACGAAGAAGCCTTTGCCCGTTCCTGGACGCGAGAAAGAGAAGTCAGCCTGCGAGACGGTCGATCATGTCAACGGCCCACGCTTCGTGCCGCCCAAGGCGACTTTGGCGCCTTCCTGCTTCCCCGATTCAATGTAGTTCCAGATCCGATCGAACTGTCCTTTGGAAACCTCCAGCAAATGATAGAATCAGCAGCCTATTTGGATGGCATCGACGCCTACCACTGGACCCGCTGTGCTTCCATCTTGGGTTCCATCGCCAAAATTGAGCTCCTTGACAGTAGAAACTAGCTGGGCCACAAATTTGTCATGGATACTGCGAGACATCAGAGATGGGACCAGCCAAATCGCTGGAGCGCGTCTCACCTGTCTTGGACATAGACGCGGGAGCCAGCGGTGCAATCCTGGCCGGAGTTGTAGCAGATTCCCAGGGCGGCCCATCGCGCGGCCTGCTCGAGGTCGCATGACTCAAACACGATGTGCGGGCTCTTTCCACCGAGCTCCAGCGAGACCTGCGATCTGCTAAGCTTGTTTGACCAGAATAGAATCCACTCGATCACCAGCCTTCTTGAGATTGCTCTTGGCTGCAGACTCCATGATCTTGCGTCCCGTGATGGTCGAGCCCGTGAAGGCCACCTTATCGACATCCATGTGCGCGGAGAGCGCCGCGCCACCTACGGTTCCCAGCGAGGGGACGGTGTTCAGAACGCCCGGCGGGAAACTGTGCTTTCTCGGTGCTGACTCAGAAAATGATGAGATAAGACCCACCCCGCTTCCTTCACCAATTCAGATAGTTTCTAATCAGGATCAGAATAGACACGGAGCCTGCAGAGCGGCGCTGCGCACCAGCGCAGTCAGTGGAGTAAGCTCCGAGGGCTTCATGACGATGGTGCACCCCGTCGCGAGCGCCGGCGCGACTTTCCACGACCACATGTTGATGGGATAGTTCCATGGGATCTGCGATACAGATCAGAGACGTGACATCGTGTTCAAGAGCGAAGACTGACGATCTGTCCGCAGACTCCGATAGGTTCATGTCTGGTGAATGCAAATTTGGTTCTGCGTGCAGCGTGAGAAAACACGCGACGATCTGTACGAAAAATGGGTGGGACCTGTTATCAACTTCAAGGGACTGCGAAACGTGTCAACGATTGTCAAGACAATGAAAGGGCCGCCTGTACTTGACCCATGATCTTGTCGGCCCAGCCTAAACAAAAAGGCATCGAAATGATGAAAAACGAAACCGGTTATTTCTGACCAGCGTAGTACCGGAGGCACTGAGAATCCGTGAATATCCCACAGGATCCACATGAGCCATGACCGTACCTGGACCGAATCCCCGATGTCGTAGTCCCGAGCGATCCTGATAGGCTTGCCGTTATCCAAGGCCTCGAGCTCCGCAAGTTCCTGCGCAGTCGGGATCAGCCCGACGAGAGCCCGCGTGCTGACTGAGGAGCCCACCTGTGCATTCTGCTCGATCAGATCGGCAAGCTTGTTGATGAGGCGCGAGCGCTCAAAGCCAGTGACGTTCTTGCCCCACGTCGTGTTGAATGCTTTTCGGGCCGCAGCTACCGCGATGTCGATGCTGAGGAGCCGAAGCGATTCAGATTCATCACAGGCTGCGGTGGTCACACACATACTCCTTGGGCGAGGCTGCGTGGTAAGTGGTAGTTAGGACAGAGATCCGATGCGTGCGGCAGAGGCAGGTCTTACCGGCGACGACAGAACACAGCACTTCCTCAGTGAATGGATTGACGCTCCTGGAGAACGGTCACTGCCCAGCTATCACGATCGGGTTACGTGGAACGCACTCGATCCGCTCATTCGAGTCCACGGACGGCACAAACTCATTGTTGATGAAGAGGCCGGTGGGGACCTTGATTTCTTTGGAGCCTACGCGTACAGTTGCGATTTGAGCCATGGTACGAGCCAAGTTTCGAAGTGCTCCCATGTACTTATAGGGTCACACACATATCGAGCGAGTAGTGCAGGACCCCGGCAGATAGGCCAGAAGTACGATGCGCTTTTGCCAAATCTGGGCATGAGCTTTTAGCTCTTAAGTGCCCGTATTAGGATCGGATTGGCCTGTTTACCCCCGCTTTAAGCTGAGAATCCACGCCAAAATAATTGCATCAAGCCCAACGACATCACGTGACATTTGTGACTGATACCCTCAGTGAAGCAAGGTCTGGTTGGAGCAGAAGTCTTGTGCGAGATTTTTCTACCTTCAAGTTGAATATAATTTATAAAATCGCTAATTTCTGCTTATCTGCCCTCTAAGCCATTGGAGAACAGAACATTTTCGTATAAAACTATTGGTCTAAGTATGCCGGGGGTCCTCGCGGTGTTCGCTTCAGAGCAGAAGATGATGGATGATGTGTCATCGCTTAGATAAGATAAGACTAGTGCGTGCCATCGGCTGCTTCAGAAAGGTGCCGAAAGTGTGGCGTTTGCTGATGTAGCCATCGCGGACATCTTGTCGCCCGCCGCCAACTCTCTCGCACATGATACTTACACCTTCCAAGTTCCGATGGCATACATAGCTTTACATCGCCTCGGAAACTGTCCTGCATCTAAGGAGCCACCAGAATTTCTACCGCGCCCATGCGCCTCGCCTCCAGTTCTCTATGGAACCGCGACGGACACGGAGGAGCGAAGCGATGCACATAGCTTGGAATCTCATTCTTTCTATCTCCCCTCGGATCCCTTTCGTCTTAGGTACCCGTGTCGTAAGTAGTCCAATGGACACCGGAGTCCCTGAGCATCGTCCGGCGAGGATGCGCAGCTCTGGTGGGGGAGAGAAATGAAGCGTCGGGGATCCTGAACTCCCCGTCGCCGCGCCTGGACGCGGCCGCAGGGATCGGCAGACCTTCTAAATCTGGAGTCACGTGCTGATCCGCTCATCTGGAGACCGCTCCGGTCGGACGCTCGGCTGTTCGCGGTTTCTCTTCCTCCCTTGTCCTGCCTCCCTCGGCCAACCGCTTCCTGTTCTTGTCCAAGACAGAACGACATACAAGCAGACCCCAGATGATAGTGCATCAGCGGTTCCCGGCTGGTTAGTTGTATCTGGTTTGATCATGAAGTTCTGGATTGGACTTCTTCATCTTCATCCGTCTCCGCCAAGTGGTGTTTCTCATGCTTCATCCATGTCCCCAGACATCGTGTATCCTTCCATTTTGTAGTCCTGGACCGAGTTCTCATAGGAGAGTGATGCGTTCCGGATACAAACTAGATTTCTTGCAAACCTCTGGCCTTGTGTCCAAGGAGACTCAAATGGGGCTCTTCCATCGCCCTTCAGTGTCACCTGGTCTTAATATACATGTGTACTTTTCGGTCCCTAAGCAAGTGGCACAGTACTTGATTGGATGCACGGCGAGGCTCAGAGACTCGCCCAAAGCCCACGCACGGCCAGAATCACATGTGCGCGAACTCCGAAACACGTGAAGAATTTTTCCATGCCCGTTTCCCGCCGCGTCCAGGGGCGCCGCTCGGAAAATTGGACAAGTCACTCGGGTGTATCCGGGAGGATCTGTATTTGAACCCTAACCACGTCTTTTCCTTCCCTCTCGCCCGCCCCAGACCATCATAATGTTCGTGGCCCGCCTCGCTCGCACCCCCGCTCTGCGCCAGATTCACACCACCGCCCGTCTCCGCTCTGGACACGGAGACTATAACGTGCGTCCAGTCACACGACCCGCTTCCTGCTCCCAAGATGCCAACCTGTCAACAGCACCTCCCCTTCGTCGCGCCCTACCAAGGCGCCGCTAAGCTGCCGTTCGGTTCGTCTGGAATCTCAGCCCTGCTGTCAGTTCGTCTCGGCTGACGCTTTTTCCCCAGGCGCCAAGATGGTCGCCTTCCTCAGCCTCGGGTTCGCCATCCCGTTTATCGCCGTGGAAATTACGCAGTGCGTCTTCCCCTATCTCTCCACGAGTCGCCCCATCCTCATCGAATGCTAGTGCCAAGAAGGCTTGAACACCACCGACACCACCTCTCATCATAGACGGATGATTTAGAATCAGGAACTGGATCTAGAGACTTAGACTATCTTGCATTCTATGTACACTGCTGCGTCTAGAGTAGCTCTAATTCAGGACGCCCGCTCACCATCTACGACTGCTTCCCCCTCACCACCGTGGCCAGCAGCTCGTCCAACTTCCTCCGCGCTTCCTTGGTGTCGGCTTGCCGCAGGCAATTGCACACGCGCGGCGGATGTAATCCGGGTCCTTCTCCAGCGCACTGATCGCCTCACAGCACGCATTCCGCGTCGCCACAGACGTGCGGCCTGCGCTTCCACTGCAAAAAGAAAGCGCCGTCAGCCCTCGAGCACACCTCTACGTCCGAGGAAATGCAGCATACCTGCCCAGTACGACGCTGTGGATCGCCTTGGGGCTCGTATTAGCAGTTAGCCAGCCTGAGAACTCCAGAGCGCACTTTCGCACTGTCCCTCCGCCGGACTCGCATCTCGAGATCAAGGCACTTTTGCGCGCGGACGATATCCGCGAGGGTCTCCATGGGATGCTTAGGCAGCGTGTTGAGCGTGATATGCTTGTCATAGAACGGCTTCAAGACGGCAGCGAAGAACGCCTCGACGCCTTCGCTCGAAAAGTCGTCGGAAATGTACACAGCCCCGAGGATGGATTCAATCACATCAGAGAACGCCTGGGGGTGGATATCAGCGCAGGTATATGACAAGGGTGAGGTCAGTCAACCTTCGGTATAGTGGCCCCCACCCAATACTGCCCCGGCTGCCGCTTTCTTGTGCCGCCAGTTCGTATTCCTCGGCCTCTTTCTGTTTCAGCTGGTTAATGTATCTGGTCGTGCTGTCGGCGAGTGGGTCTGCCAGAAGCAGATGGTTCGACAAGCCACACGTGACCGCGATTGCTGCTAGCGTCGAGTTTGACACCATCGCAGCCTGGGTTTCATCAACACGATGTGCAAAGACCCCATGACGGAGTACACACACCTTCAACACGGTCAGGCTACCAGGCCCGAGCGTTGGATGGCGATCGAAGAGCAGACGTGTCACCACTACCGGATTTGAGTCGGATTGGTCTCTCTAAGAACGAGGAAGAAGAGGCACATACAAAAGTCGAGCACAGCGTCGCCCAGAAACTCGAGCCGTTCGCTTGACACTCGGCCAGGTCCAGAGATGGAACCATGCGTCTGTAGACTTCAAGTCAGTCCAGATCGAGCACACACCAGCAAAGAGCCGCAGCTTACCAAAGCTTGAGCGAGAAGATATGGATATCTGAATTTGTGGTTCACAATCCCCTCAATCGCCTGTATCGTATCGCGAGAGATCTTTGCTGAGATCGTCGAGGGAGGGACCAGCACTTTCCGGCCAAAGTCAGACCACTGCGCGACGTCGAGGGGGAGGATGTTCATCGCCTGCGCTGCCATTATCCCGGCGTCGTTCCCACCAGAAGAAACGCTGCGCCTAGAATCGCCTCGCTCACATCCGCAATGACCTGATGCCATCCGATTAGATTAGATGACCAGATCAGGACACACGATTAGATCTCATCGCACCTTGTCCCCCAGTCGCCGCCCAGTCACTTTCTTCGGCGTCTGGCCGGAAATATCAAATGGGGCGGCAGCCACGCCTTGAACGCGAAGGGGAGCGACTGGATGTACGGCACAAGCCCCGCACTCGCGAAATGCTCATTGAGCGCGTGGTTGCTGACCAGGCTCTGGCGCGTGAGATGCAGCCCTCCCTCCTTGGCAGAATTGGCGAATACGTAAGCGTGGACCGAAGCCAGGAGTTTGAGGAAGCTGTCGCCTGTGGAAATGTCAATCGGAGACAGTCCGAGAGTTCAGACAGAGATCGGACCAAGAAACTCCAGTCTGTCATAATCATATTCCAATCTCACAGACGGTGCAGTGACCGCCGTATGAAGCAAGCTGTCGGAGAGCTTGCAGCGGAAAAAGCGAGAGTTGAGCTCTTTCGTGAGCAAGAATCCATCAATAAGCTTGGAGATGGATGGAAAGAGAAGCATCGTGCGGATGTGCTTTACCAAATCTCAACAACAGTGCAGATCAAACAAGAGGCCGAGATACTGACCTAGCAGGCACAGTGAACTTATGGCACAGTTCGGGGATAAGGTCTGTTCAAGTCTCAAATGTCGGCAAGCAATCGTCAAGGAGAGAATAGGCACAGTGAGGATAGTTGTCAGCCGGCCCCGCAGCAGGCACCGGACTCAGGTAGGACATTCCGCTGACGACCGAATCCACTTCAATGATCGCTTGGTTTCGTCCTTCAGACCTGCGAATTCTTTCGCGAAGAACTTGCAAAACTCCAGCAGAGTGTGCTTTCTGTACCCTGTAAGGCATGACAGCTCTCCGCCCAGATGACTTGACTTACTGGTCC